TTTTTTTTTTTTTTCAATTTTTTTTTTTTCATATCAACGTACGTATGGGAGCCAATTTGGTGGCCGTCCTTGAGCATGCGAGTAACAGTAGAGCTATAATCTTTGATGTCGCCCCAGTTCTTTCCGTTGACGAAGAAGGTAGCCTTCATGCCAGCAGACAGAAGCTGGTCAAGAAGATTCTCGGTGTATGCGAAAGGGCCATCGTCGAAAGTGAGGGCGATGGTATCGGGCTGAGTGCAGCTTTGGATGACGGTACCAACAGGGAGGGTAGAGCGGCTCGAAAGGGCAGAGACTAGCTGCATGCCAGAGAGAGCGACAAGAAGTAGAGAGCGCATGGTGTCTGAAAGACGAAAAATGAATGAGTGACAGTAAGAAAAGTAAAAGAGTGAGATAATGCAATGGTTTCGAGTTCTGAAATATGCAAGAATAACGAGGCTTGACTTGGTTCTTATACATGTTTCCCTGTACCTCTACCTTTGGTGACGTGTCTACGTCCTGGTTGTTATCGTAAGGCTAAATACAATAAGGTTTACTTGGCAGGGGAACTGTAACATGGTATTTATAGTACGTCGTAAGTTTCATCTGCCCTCCGGAGAATACCGTTCGTTCGGGATAATGATAGGTAAGCTTTGGCTTGATAAACTTACACATCTAAAGCATCATAACTCCGATGCCCGCAAAAGACCTTTCTCAATCTTGCCCGAACACGAGGTTTTAATCATAGCTTTCACTTACGTTTATAATTAAAGGGGAGAAAGTTGAGACTGCAAAGAAGGCCGATGTGAAAAGCTTCAAAATAAGCTTAAACTCTAATTTCACAGGAAGTTGGGACCTTGACGCAGGTTGAAGCTTGTCATCCATGAACATACAAAAAATTCAGGACAAACCCCAATACGTCTATAGCAGCCAACAACATCTAGTTATTTATACGTTAGGCCTACATATGACTTTATCAATCCAACGTTCTTTTCTGGGTTATCATATTGACGTTGATAGTAGTTGACATGACTAGCCCTGTTTGGATCGCAAGATAAAGTTATCCCGGACCAGGGTACGCAAGACAATTAGTGCCCGAGCTTGCAACAGTAACGCCAAATGGACAATCGAGCCGAGTCTAGAGTATTGTGCAAGTTTCGGAAAGGTTGATCCCACAAATCAGATTCAGAGTGTGGCACATATGCCAAGAATCTCCTGTTTTAAGAACTGATCTAGAAGACACGGCAGTTGGCCAGGTAGCTGTCAGGTGCAATTTCACTCGGAACAGCCGGATCACAGTACCATGGCCACGGGGGAAAGTAGTGCCATTGAATATTCCAGTGTTTTGAATCAAGTCAACGAGTGCTTTGCGTATAATTATCATCATAAGATCGCTCCTCATCACTTCCATCTTGTTCCACTGTGTCGGTCCCCGCAACTTTGATCATGCGCCTTGTGCTATCTGTGTCCCCTTCTTGACAGATTCTGTCATTGATAACTATCCCATCTGGTCCCAACTCCATGTTTACTTCACGGTTCGATCTCTCCCTGACTCGACCGATAGTTACAAGATCTGTGCCATTTGAATAGCTCTGATCATCCGTGCTCCTGTCTTTCGCCAGACTTTTGAAGAATGCTCTGAGCGAGGGAAGGGAGCCTGCTACGATTCCAACGCCACATTCGACTACTGTCCACAGGATGATATTGCCTACTTGGTCTAGAGGGCTGTCAGTGATGGATTGAGACTTTTATCGCTGGATTACTGCTTACAAACAAATTTGTCGGGTTTGAGGTAGGCGTTGGAATATGGCACCCGAACAATGCTTGCAACAGATGCTCTTTGTAAGCAGTTAGGACCTCTAATATAAATTATAGCGCATAAGAAGGGTGATAACTTACAAGACACCAAGACACATGATCAACTGAGCATAAAGCTTCAACCTAGACCTCATCTGCAACTTCCTGACAAGTAGCATGGGAATCAGAGCAGTCGCAAAATCTGTTAAAACGTTGGATACCGATGCGGCGTAAGTTAAGATCGTGGGAAGGATTTTGTCCATGCATGTGCCCTTTGACGGAATCCAGAAGGCCTCGACCGGTCGACATTGAACCAAGACGACAATGAAGCCCACTGTACTCAGCAGTACCGACTGCGCAATTAAGAATCGTAGGGTTAGAATGTAGAGTCTTCCCGTTGCAATTCGAAGCACTGTGACACAGATGCTTGTTTTGACGAAGGCTAGGGTGGCAGCGTAGAACATCTGCCATAGAAGAACATACTGGCTCATCATCAGCAAGTTGCTATCCTATTGACTGGATGGTCTACTACCTTCATTCCTTCTTGGGCCTGTGCTGTACTAAGTTTATAACGAACTGTCCCGATGCCTGTATGACACCCAGCAATCACAATACCGTTGTGCACCATATATGCGACCTGTTAAAGTCAGCCATGATATCCAATGAAATTGTGATTGATCTTACCCAGCCAGCACACATTAGGTAATCATCATTACCAATGCACTGGTTCCGTGTTCTGATGTACGTTCAGAGAAATACCACAATAGTACAAAGAATTGAAAGAATGACTGTTGCGACGAACAAGGCTAGTGCAAGCCCTTGAGGCTGCACCGGTTCCCAGCCGGGCTCAGTAGTCATGACCAAAAGGGAATGGCATAAGGTTGAAGATTAAGAAGGAACCCATATCTGTGTAACACGGTTGATTAAATGTTTGTTCCTGGTGTACATCTTTTCTCTTTTCTCTTTGCCAAATACCCGGTCAGGGACAGACAGATTGAGTGCTCAGTCCAGGATTCAAGTCCTTTATGCTCGCATGATGAAGACGGTGGTAGCAAATTATCCCTGTTAAAATATTCCATGACAGGCACTTCTGATGATCTTCCTCCTTGAGAACTGAGAGAAGGAATAGTGCGACTGCGACCAGCTTCCTCATCCTGGGAGTGGCCCACTATAACACCGGGGTATCGACCAACATGATCTGATAAATGTTAGAATTGGTCGCTCGCTAATGCAGGTTGGAGGCGGGACCCAACAGTTGTTGGTTCCTCGCAATTTGCATTAGAAAAGAAAGAAAGATAATTTGTTATAATGAGAGCTTTCGGGACAGAAGGGGGAGTCGGACTTGAACGAATACTATCAGAATTGAGCCATTATATGTAAACTCATTGACTTAGACTCCAAATGAATCAGTTTCAGCCTACTAATAGCATATAATCCCTCTTTTGTGATCGCGGGGGCAACAGGATCTGCCACTCTAAAACGCTTGGCTGCTTGTTCCGCTGCTCGCCTCGAGACCCCATGAACGATACCAGGGTCAGGGTCAGGATCAGGGCACATAGAAATACAGAGGGTTTATCCCGTGTCTCTAATTCCTTTCTTCTTTACACTGTTATCACTTCTCCATTTGTCATGTCATACTCAGTTAAGGGTCGTTTCGCCGTCGTTACCGGCGGTGGCTCGGGTAGGTAAACTCTACAATTGGAATCATGGAATACTCATAAAATATACAGGTATTGGACATGCCACCGTTAAAATGTTGCTCGAAGCGGGCTGTTCCGTAGTCGTCGCCGATCTTCGTCTCCGCCCTGAAGCTGAAGCAACGATGTCTCAACACCCCCATCCTTCATCGGACCCTTCGAAACCATCAGCTATTTTCTGTCCAACAGATATCTCAGACTGGACCCAAATCTCCTCCCTCTGGGCAACCGCCCTCGAAACCTTCCCTCGAATTGACATCGTGGTCAGCTGCGCAGGTGTCTACGAACCTCCATCCAGCTCCTTCTGGAACCCACCCGGCATATCTCCCCTCGCAGAAGACCCCGAGGATGCAAAAGTTGGCCAGTACAAGAGCTTTGCCATCAACACCATTGGGCCGATAAGACTGTCCCAGATTGCTATTGATTACTGGCAGCAGAATCCAGATGTACAAGGAAACCTGCTATTTGTGGCTAGTATGGGTGGCTATATGCATTCTATGCAAACGCCCTTGTACTTCGCTAGCAAAGCTGCGCTTGTTAGTATGGTGAAGAGTTTGGGCGGATTAAAAACGGCTCTGGGCATTCGTAACGCGGCTGTTTGTCCTGGAGCAGTATTCGTATGTCGCTCTCATTCCCTTTTGCGGTGCCAGACTAACATTATCCAGACACCCATCTTTGAGCAGGACTATTGCCGTGATCGACTTCAACCGGGTGACATAGCGTTGGAGCCAGAAGATGTTGCTGAACTTGTGATGCGAGTACTTCAAAAGCCACAGTACGGTAATGGAAATATCATGGAGATCTTGATGGTTGGGAGTAAGGAAGAGCAGTCGGTTAATGTGCGCGAGATAACACTTGAAGCGTTGTACCCTACTGTGAGTCCATTAGGTGCGGGAACGAGAGCTATGACTGAAGAGCTCAAATTCTTTGAGAAAGTCAAGGAGAAAGGTATGAGATCTAACAGCTAGATACAATCAGGTCGATAGATAAGTAGATCTTGGACTAATTGGCCAGACTCTATATCGTAAGAGTCTATTCCAAAGACGTATATAGAGTCATTCCGGATAGGTTCCTTTTCTTCTTCTCTGTAGTGAACGCAGTAATCTCATAGAGCAGAATCCCCCTCGCAAACAAAGCACTCGCCGTCAACCGAATCACAATAACAGCAGAGTCCCTAACACTGATGAATACCAGACTTGAGAGAATAAGTGTTCCAAAGAAAACCTGCAGTGCATCTCCGATATAGAGGAAAGATACCAGTACCAGGAACCAGCCGCTGTGTCTGTCGTCTTTGGTGACGACGAGCCTACTCTGCCATGGCGTGGGTTTGAGCTCAGCCCAGAGTCCATGCCAGATCCCACTATGACCACCGGGCGTTTCTTCTTTAACGGTCACTTTCAACCCTGCAGCGATATATCCAACAAGGTGTATCGCCACGGCCGCAACAGTCCATACAGCAGGAAGAAAGTCCTGTCCTGGTGCAAATGTGCAGACTGCCCATGTACTAAGCTGATAAGCGAGGTACGCATTGTTTGCAACAGCTGCAGTCGCGACCGTGTACTCCAGTCCCGACACAAACGCGGGTATGCTGGAAGAATGTGGCCTCCCAAAATTTGTGCGAAAGGGTTCCGTCCCCATCGTGTCAATATAGCCATCATACTCCCCCGCCCCAAGAGGTCTCACCCCTGAACTGGCCATCGACAGTAGGAAAGCCAGACCAGGCCGTCTAAAAGACAACATAGCGGTATCAAGGTATGAGGCGCTCATCAATTGAAGAATTGCAGGCGCTAGGCCGAGGATGACGGCGGAAGAAGCAAGTTCTGCTTTGCGGAATTCGGGCATGGTTTCGAGGATACAGTCTATCACACCGTAGCCTACTCGCCGGTCTGGGTCGGAGCGGTTGCGATACTGGGCCATAGGTTCGGTACAGTTTGGTGTGAGGAGTTGGTCTTGGAGGATGGGATCCCAGGCTGGGAAGAAGTGTTGGTATTGGCTGTAGGAGCGCGCGAGCGTGGGAGTGATGAAGTACCAAAAAGTGAGCAGGAGGTAGGCTGCATAGCCTGTTCTCTGTTTATGCAAGGCCATCGTAGGGATCGAGATCTGAAGGGTACTAAAAATCAGATGCCGTTGAGATGAAAATAACTGGGGAGAGAGCTGGGTTCTTATGCCATTTTCCCGCTCAGCCCCCGACGGTAGTTGGAAGCCGGCCATCAGCCCCCTCTTCAGCTCAAATCCTGCCGGGCTGATAATAGATTGAAGAGATGTGACACTTCCGATGCAGGTTTGCGTAATAATAAGCGCTGAGGCTGCTTGAGCTGAAACTTCTTGCATCAACATAACCAATCATCCTAAATCAGGCTCGACAGCCGACAGCTCAGTACGAAGAATCTGTTTCAGCTGCGCTTACTGCACTTTTATTCTCAGTGGGGTTGACCAATACATTGAAGGAAGAATCCTGCTCGAGGTGTCATGTTGATTGCAAAGCCATACTAATCTGCTTACTGTTACACGAACGGACAGCCCAGCGCAAGGATCCGAAGCACGGCACTTCAAGATACTTCGAAGAACCCCTACAAACCGACATTAAACGCCCATGTCTTCTGTCTCATGCGACCCAATCCAGACACTTCTTCTGTAGAGAGTCCCTCATATCGGCCGATCCTGTTGAACACCTGCAGCCTTTTAAGTCTCAGTCGATCAGATAAGGTTTGTGAAGATATTTACAGTTTCCAAAGGGCATTGTGACTTCAAGTCTCAGTCATATCGATCTAGAGCATCCCAGGGATGTATCCCCCATGACGTAGTTGAAAAGTACTACGCCATTTGCATGTGAGGGAGCATGCCGTTGACATGTCGGTATGTCAACGGGGTCTCTGGGACCCACGACTTCGCGATCTGGATGATTGTATCGCCGTTAATTTTGTGAGCGTCTTCCGGGACATGGTCGTGGTACTCTCCAAGAGCAAATTAGAAACGTCCTAGGAGACATGTGTTAGTAGAGGTTCTGTAAGAACATAATATCCGGACCATATACCCTCTGGTTCGATCTCTGGACTTTCCATGTAGGACTAGTGAGTTCGGCATTGGGGCAAATGGTTATGGTCCTTTCCCATGCATTGAGCAACAAGGTAGAACGCGTGAATGACCTTGTGTTGGGCACGAAGAAAGGGATGGACCTGTTGGTTCGGGATGAAAGACGCTGCGCCGCTGCGCGTGAGGGCTGCCTCCTCCACGACGTCCAGCGTCTCGTTGACAAGCGCAATTTCCCAAACTGGTTTATCAACCTGGTTTGGAAAAGTCAAAACACTCGTCACTTCGGCATATGTGCTGAACTCCAGTAAGTAGTGGACTAATATCGCATCGCGGCAAGCATGGCTTACCCACAGGCCCTTGGACGAGTCTAAGGTTACAACTAGAGCATCCAGGTCAGAATCAGGGTCTCTAAACGCCATGACCGCCTGTTCTTAATCATGGATCGTCGTCGTTCTGATCAGCTTGCGGGAGTTGATTCCGCCGGCGGCGCATGCCGCCTGCACCGAGCTGGCATAGCGTAAGTACGAGATGTTGAATGCAAAGTAGCAGAGAAAGGGAAACTTACCTGGCTGAAGTGTCGTCCCTCGTCACTACGAGGGCTCTGGAGCGCGTTTGCTTCATCTCTAGGAGCTTTCGAACAGTCCAGCGGACTTTTTTTGCAAGCACGTCATCTTGCTGTCCAAACAAGACTTCTACACTGGGGACCGCGGCAGGGTTGAAGGTTCTGCGCTGGTCGTTCATTTTTGCCGATACGGACGATAGGGAGTTCTCTGGGAGTAACCAACGATACGTGAGAGGATCTCGGTTGGAGGGTGGAGGAAAGTATCGATGATAGGGATGAAGTAGAATCCTTTCGTTGGTTTGGAAGACCTGACGAGGATAGCAGCAAGGTTTTGTGTTGAGGAGAGGGGATAACAGAGATCCTCAGTGTTGCTGTTGGATGCAGCTTGAGCGCGTTCTGGTAGCGTGGAGTGATGGTCACAAGGCAATAAGAAAAAGGTTCTGGGGAAACATCGCACTCATGATGCTTCAAGTGTGTAGGTTTATTGAGGAATACTCTATCTGATGTTATCCCGAAAGTTTATATAGTAACAAAGCTCATGCAGTCTTGGAAATAAAGCATACAGACTCTCAACTTGAGGAAGATATTAAAGATAGGAGAACAAAATATCTATTTACAGAAGGGTCGTTACACGACGAGGGAGTCGTCTTTTTGTTACCGGTGTAAAACATTATAGGTACGTGACTACTTACTGTGCAGAATACAGAGTCTGGAGCCCTAGAGCGCTTTGGAAACAACTTACACCTTCATATATCCTGAGAAGCATCAAGCAAAGGCCAATCGTGAATTTCAAGGCTGGTGCCCCCAACCTTGCGTATGACTCACGATATAACCTTTGGCGTGGAACACTGCTGAGAATAAGAGCCATGTGATCGAAGGTGTTCTTTTTTTAAGTGCGCATTGCGGAAATCTTCATATGTGTCACTGTCAAACTCTAAACAGCTGAGCACAAAATTCTCAATCAGTGATCGCAATTGGTATCTTATTTGATTGCACATTTAGGAATCTTCTATCTCGAAACCTACATAGAAGGCAACGATGACGAGTATCATGTCCTGAAAGACACCAGCATCCCTGCATAGCCAAAGACGGAATTTTGCAACAGATACTACAGCCCTGTGAGATAAATGCACTTGAGCGTGGTTCTCGAGCAGAGTAGAATTACTTGCCAAGCAATATAGGCCCGAATCTTGACTCAGAACAAATTGGTGTAAATGTTCCGGCTCAAAGCATGTCGCTTGTTGTCGGTCATGCTAGTGAATGATGCTCTGCATTGTTCAAGGTTAAACTTCCATCTTAAATATCAGCAAACCCAAGTTCTCATAAATCGCCTCTTGTGGTATCAGCAAGCTACTTATGGAAAACTGTAATCTCGGACAGATAGTATCAATTATCACTTCTCATCACTTCTTGGCATTTCTCGCCAATCTAGATACATTGACCATATCAGATCTGAATGTTTCATGACGCGATTGTTTGTCGACTTATTTAATACACGTCACGGAAAAATACAAATCTCCGCAAACAGTCATTCATTCTATGTCCGCTGATCATACTCGATCCAGAGATCCAAGCTTGCAATGCTAATCCTCCACGTTAGACTCTCATTCCTGTCAAAGAACACTAACCTTAACTCCCGATGCAGGTACACACACACACACACACTCAAAAAGTCCTTTTGTCCGTCCCATCACAAGTGCCGTGGAGTAAATTCTCCGAACAAATCCAAATCGTTTCCCCTGATTTCTTAACCCTTTCTTAAGCGCCAGATACTCGTTTCTGCGCTAGACCGCCCAGCTTCTCAGCAGCAGCACCCAGCGTTCTGGGGTCTGCACCCTTGATCTCCGCCTGGCCGTTCACAGCAACCTGTTTGCCCTCCTTGAAGAACATGAATGTGGGCATGGCAGTAATGCCGTACTGGCGCGCAGCATCCTGCACATGATCGACGTTGACCTTTGCGAAAGCTAGGACGTCGGGAACGCTGTGCTTGGTGGCGAGTTGCTCATAGACGGGGGCGATGGCTTTACAAGGGGGACACCAGTCTGCGAAGAAGTCGACAGCGACGTATGTGGTTGATGAGAGAAGCTTTTGGAGCTCGTCGTTTGAGGTAATGTGGTGAACCATTTTGAGATTGATCTGCGGGGGATCGACAGAGGCTGATTTAATAGTGACGGGTGATGTCTTTCTTTAGTGCTGGAATCTAATGCAGGTCCGATATCGAGATCTGTGGCTTTTTGAGGATGATTATCCTTGTCGTGGTTGGGATGATCTGTTTATATGCTTTTCTCCTCATGGCATGGATTTTGAGAGAATCTGACGGAGCCGCTTTGAAATATCGAGTTCACGTGATCTGACGCAATTGAGGGGATTCCACATCTTATCTCATAAGATACCATTACTAATGACTGCGCCACAGAAAGTGTGAGCCACAGCCAACCTCAGTAAGCAAGCAACTCAAATCTTGTCAGCGATCGTGACAAATTTCTGCATCAATTGGAATCGCAACCACAATTACAGCAACATTATCACAAGGTATAATACTATTGATCTGGCATGAAATGACTCTTGGCATAAGCCTGAGCTATTGTTAAACTATTGCTTAATTATCCTTACCCAGTATCATGTCATGCCATATCATTCGCAACTCTAACCCGATAAAACGACCCCGGTTACCCTGTAACCAGCATCAGCATGTTTCAATCGTGCATTGTACGTAACATCAATCGAAAATCGTCGCACTCGCTTGATCTTGGCAGTCCAGACCCCAAGCTCTGGCCAGACACGTTCTCGGTTCTGTAATGACCTCCCTCTTAAGGCTGTGCCTCCCGCAGTGGAGAGCCAGAAGCACAGTCGGTCTCTAGGTTAAACCGGAAGCTGCCCCGTGGGCAAGTTCGGCTCACCGCGGGCCCCTATAATTGGTGGGCCTAAGATGGAACTAAACACCAAGACCAAGACAAGACAAGACCCTCCTTCGGCTATGATTAACCCACCGAATAAACACAGCACCGGACTTCAGGTCAATCGTCTTGGTACGGATACCTTTTCCCCAGATGGATACAAAGTTAATTGTTCGAGACGAGTTCGACTATCTCGGTTAGAAAAGTGATAACTCACACTCACACATTCGGCTAAGGGATTCCGCTGTAGACTCCAGGCCCAGGGGTCTGAGCTTGGCGGCGTCAAGACCGTTCCAACTCCGTGTCTCCTGATTCGTTTGATGCACTAACAATAATTAAGAAGCTGCTTCAAAATGTTAATTCCGCTGTTTGACGAGGCTTGCATTAGAAGAAACGCTCGGATGATAAAGAACAAAGAAGACACAGCTGCAGCAACGGGCAGAAGGAAAGGTAGCCGAAAGGTAAAAAACCGCTCACTGAGGACGTGGGATGCCGGATTGGGTAAGTGGGGTTTCTTCCATCGCTTGATGTGTTCCAGCTGCTTCAGCCCAAAAACACCATTTTGAAGCCAATATCCAAACTATTGATCCTTCAGATATAGCGAGTCCAGATAAGCGTAGATTCTGTAATTAGTTACAGAGACCTGCTCTCGGCCCCCCCTTGATAAACTGAGGCCGAGACAAATATGTCAGACTTGCTGCTAGGATCCGAGGTGTCTAGGTGTCACTGTGGAGTGATCAGCGAGTCAGAGCCCCCTGACGCCCACGCGATCGCGTCTTGGCTGGATAATGCTAGCAAACTCTATTCTCGACGGAATTACAGGACAGTTACAAGTATACAAGGGACCAAGTCTGATCACAGTCAGCCAAGCAGCTAAGGCACGAGTTGGGGAGCTTTGGGTTTTACCGAGTATGGTCAATGAAGCAGTACAGCAACAAGGAAATCAGGTCATCCTGCATCATGACTGCTGTGCTGGAATGAAGAACGTTATGTCAAATGGTTGCGTAGTAAGCGCCACTCCGTTGCCACCAAGTCACATCATCACGTTCTCTCAGGGTTCTAGACGTGATGGCTGGTTCAGCTCTGGCAGGGATTACTTCGGAAATGTGTGCCCCCTTGACCTGGTCAGCGGCTGATGTCGGCCATTCGTGAGATCAGAGAGGGTTCTAATCGTGGCGAACTGCATTCCATTCCTTCCTTCATGCAAGGAAGAGCTCTCTTCCCACGAGGTGGAACACGATCCCAGAAGCAAATCGGAAGTGAGACATTGAGAGATGAGAGAGCATCCCTGCTATATTATTAACCGCTGGCCCACTGAGCTGCAATTGATAGCCCTTCAAAGGACCGACCTCAGCACTCAGTTATCGCAGCGACAAATCCGAGTGGCGTCAGGGACCCTCATCAGGCCAATCCCAATATCCCCAAGCTTTACGTGCTAAGACCAGTACGCTAAGAATCGTCGTCCCTCTTCACAAGCTAGGCTAAAGACTTGGCCTAAGACTGTGCTCTCTCGTGTTCCCGGATCAAGAACATTCGGGGCCCCTGATACTAAAACTCCACTTGATTCAAATTCGTTGATGCGGAGGAGGGAAATAAAGTCTCTTCGCCCCCCTTAAGCCCAACCCACCCCCGCGTTATCTGGGCTTTGATCTCTTGTCCCTTTTATTTTACTGGAGGTTTTAGACTTTTCGACTTGGAGAAAAAAAGAAAGAAAGAAAGGTGTTACCCCAAGTCATGCGCCGTTGCATCCTCATCAGCTTTCCCACGTCGAATTGACCGCGACACCGACTCGACGACGCCGATCACCGAAATTTGACACCGCTGATCCTACCCAAGACGAGCCACACCCTGAAGAAAAAAATAAAGATCCGAGTCAACCAACAACCAACACCAAAAAAGAACCATCGCAACCATGACGTTGTTAGAAGCTGAGATATGGACCTGGTACGGTCTATCGTGGGCCATCGTTGTCGCCAGAATGTAAAGTCAATTGAGGGAACAAGATCAATTCGGATTGGGACTGACCTTGGTACAGGATATCACGACGGATGTTGCTGGGTTCAGTTAGGAAGCTACAATTGGAGGATTACTTGATGATAGTAGCCATGGTTCGTCGCCTACACTACCCATGGATCCGCAATGTCTAATAGTCAACAGGTCACCGATACTATCCTCATGGTCGGCATGTCCATTATTTCACAAACGAGCAGTAACCTCATCGATCCCAGCGAAAATGTCGTCCTCGACGCAGCAGAGATTGCGACACGAGAATATGGTTCCAAATGGGTCTTGGTGGTTGAGCAGATGCAGATTCTGACCATTTGGTTGATGAAGTACTGCTTGTTGCTCATGTACAACCGTCTAACGTTCGTATTACCCATCGTATTGTATCTAAAGTCAATTCTAACATTGTCGCAGAATGAGTTTGAGTCAAAACTTGGCTGTTAAGTTTGTCGGCGCATATGTCACCGCCGGCTTCGTCGTTATGGAGATTCTGTACCTGGGAGTCTGGTGTCGCCCATTCACCCAATATTGGGCTGTCCCCCCAGAGAACAGTATGTCTGACGCATCGCCTCAATTGAACCATACTGACTATTCACAGCTCAATGTTCTGCTGCTACCAACCATCTCATCACCAACGCCGTCATCAACATCACCTCCGACGTAATGATCATCCTAATTCCCATGCCCATCTTCCTCAAATCCCAGCTCCCCCTAAAACGCAAAGCCGTTCTCATTGGCGTCTTCGCCCTCGGCGCCTTCACCATTCTCTCCGCCATCCTCAACAAATTCTACTCTTTCAACGAACCTTTCGGCTCAAACTGGACATTCTGGTACATCCGCGAATCCTCAACCGCCATCATCACCGCCAACCTTCCCTACATTTGGACTTTACTCCGACGCATTTTCAAGCTCGGCTCTTTCAGCGGCTCAACCTATGGAAAGAGCACCAACAACCCTTCCAAAGCTTACCGCACTAATTTCACAAATCATCGCTCCGTCGTGCGCTCGCAGATTCGCGCCGATCATGCGCTGCATCAGGTCGACAGCGAAGAGGAGATTAACAACACTTATGCTTTACCGCTCAAGATCTACGCCAAGCGCGAAATTCAGATCACCAGCGAAGATGCCGGACCTGAAGATCGAAGGGGTCCTATAGGATGTATTCCTGACGAATTGATGAGCAATAGCAAGGATAGCGTGCGGACAGAAGATATGGAGACAGCTTCGGAAAGATCTGCAGCTGGAGTTGTCAAAGTATATCACGGCGTATAGACGTTTTCTTTCTCTTGGATAAGAATAATATCCAGCGATGTAATTTTTGCATATAGATAGAATATTCGTGCCTACAGCACAATGACAATGACAAAACATAGAATAACTTGTCACGATGTTAATAATTTCGATTGTAAAGAGAAAGACGCCATGTCATAATTACGCGAGACGCCACCGTTGGTTCTACTGTTGACCCATGTCCTGTTGGCTTCGCGTCCGTTATCTACATTCAGCTAGTAAAGCAGCACGAGCCAGGACAATGTCCGAGTCAGGTTGCGTCGGGGACCTGGACCAACTGACAGTAATTAGCGCAAGCCAAACAGCCAGCTTAGCTGAATCCTTTCTATGCTAGCTCAATTCCTTCGGGTGTTTTTACATCTCCGCGTCAAAGCCGTCCCCTTTCCGTGGGCTCGGGACATCCGTCAACAAAGGCCGGACCTGGGCGCTAGCTTTGATGGTGTGGTGGTTAAGATGATCGTCTTTGCCATGTGGATTTCCAAGACATTGAACACGATAAGGCTAAAATAGTGTACGCGGATCCGGGTGAAAGGGGTTGCGAACCGAAGATAACCTGTTCCTGACTTGATTTCTTGGTAGTGGGCGTCATCGGCTAACATTAGAATTATGATTATTGAAATAGTTGTTCTTTTGTCATTTCGGCCCGTCAACTCTTATCGCCGGATGAGCAGACATGTTCTCAGACTAACTTCCTTTCTCTTGACCTTTAGTCGTGTATCAGCCCAACCCGACAGCACATCCCCATAAATCTGTCAACTATTGGTTGAAGGATGCTGTTCTTGTAACGTTCATGTTTGTTACTATTTTATTTTAGGGGTTGTTTCCAATGTAGAGATTAGCGGAACAAGAGGTCAATTCGGATGTTCATGGAAGGGTTTATCTGTCAGCCAGGCGTATATCTTATCTCTAGATACTCCGGATATATAGAGTTCATGAAACAAAAGGACAGGGGTCGTGGATCTGATCTTCTCTCTTCAAGGTCCTGTTGCATTATTCCTAAACTTTAATTGACAAGGCTGCAGTGCCACATTATTGCATGCAACTGTGCCAGGACGTGGACGCCATCTGGCTATTACCCGGCTATACGCACAACAGCTTCTTTGCAAAAGAGAGGGGTGCTGCAGAATATCAAGAGTTAGGCCACAATTCCCAAATAATCGAGTGAATAGGTCATCTGTTCAGCACGACCGCTATCAGAACAAACAATATGACCCACTCAACTCCGGCGCCGAGTTCTACCTGTAGAGGAGTAAACAACTTGATTGAATTGCCCGAATGATCAGGCTAGAATGCGAGGACAATCAAGTGAATAGGTAGGCAGCCTGGCCGCAGTAAATAAACAGCTCCGAGGGAAGACATAAGAAATTAAGTAAAAGAAGAATTAGGCGTTGATCCTAAATTCCAGAAGCTTTTACAACTGGATCCACGATGTTCGGGGATCAAAGATACCATAGTGCAACGAGCACAGGGTGTATTCCTCTGGGTTTACCTCGTGGTCAACTCCCTCAAGAGAGGGCTACTGAAGGACGATAATTACTCAGATCTGCAGAACAGACTCAACGAACTTCCGGATGATTTGCAGAAGTACTTTGAGCACATGCTAGAGTCCATCGAGGCTATCTATTGGGACAGTACCACGAGAATATTTCGGACTGTCATCGCCGCAGAACAAACTTTACCCCTACTTGCTTTCGAGTTTCTTGACCGCGAGATGGACGATCCTGACTACGCTTTGACGATGAAAGCCGCGCCATTATCAAAGGTTGAAGTCGAGGCTATAGGCAAGCGATCAAGCACGAGGCTACACGCCCGCTGCGGCGATTTACTCTATGCCACGGTAAACCCAACAGAGACTAGGCTGTTCAAGAGTCAAGTCGACTTCCTCCATCGAACGGTGAGAGATTTCTTCCTCGACACAGGTGTCATTGACACCATGATCCGCAAGCGACCTACTGAAGAATTTGATCCTCACCCGTCTCTCTGCAGAATCATGCTCAGTTTGACCAAGTCATTAGACCTTAACAAACCTAGTTATAACCACCCGTTCGTCCTATCCGATGGTCTGATGCACTATCGCGCAACACCGAGCAGGCTCTTACAAGACAAGAAGAGGAGGAAGATAGAAGGAGCCTTGAACATGTTTTCGACATTTTGGATGAACTGAATCGATCAAATACGGAGCAACTGGCTCACTTGGGCGATCACTGGACAAATAGAAAGAACCCTCCGAGAGGCCAGTTTCAAGAGTGGCGCAAGAAGACTTTCCTAGCAGCGACGATACAAGCTTGACTATGTCTCTACACCGCCGACCGCTTACAAAAGGATCCCTCGGGGATGAGTCGCAAGGGTGGCCGTCCACTACTGGACTACGCACTCCGACCAGCAATGATCACCCCATTACAGATAATCGATCTCGAACAAGGCCCCGTGATACCTATCGTTGAACTCCTACTCGATCTAGGGGCAGACCGAAATGCGGGGATCTATATCTACGATAATATTAGTCCGTGGAATATGTTTTTGGCAATGTGTCATCAGCATGGAGATAATGGCTTAGACTCAGAGTCTTTGGTAGATGATATTGGGAGGGAGATGGAGCTTATGCTTGCTCGAGGTGCGAGGACGGATGACATAGAGAAGCTTAAAGGACTTTTCGTGAAGATCAAGTTACCGCAACATTACAGGAGTAGTATTCAGGATTTGATTGAGACTAGGGAGCAAAGTAGGGGGTTTCTGTCTCGTTTATTGGAATGGGGTTGACGACAATCGGCTCAAATTTTGTGTAAATAAACCAGCTAGCTAACTTTCCATCTCTCTATCTGACTTCCGCATCGCCCCGGCAACTCTAGAAGAGAAAGCCTATGATTCCTTTCCATTCTTTCTAGACTAGAGCTAGTGTCTTTTCAGTGCTGCATAACAACAACACCACCTGCGAATACAATAACGAGTCATCAGATGTCGGCAAGAACAAAAATAGCGGACACCAACAAGACCGAAAAGGCAACACACTATCGATCAGTCTCCTAGAATATTCTGAGGCTCCTATGGCAGTCCAAGCAGATCCTTTAGAAGGTTCCCGCAGGGCGGTAGTGTTTCGAGAAAGTCCGGTCCATTGAGTCTCTTGTCTATTTCACCTCCCTCGCGGTACTCATCGAAGGTGCGAAGCCCTTCGAGTAGGGGATCATTCCACCTGGTGAATTTGGTATCGGTGTTGTCTTCCTCGTTCTTGGGGTTCTCAATTTGGGTTTCAAGGTCTTTCAGCTTGGCAGCGTTCTTCTCGGCTTCCTTGGCTTGTGATTTCTCCTGGGCTTCAATCTTTGCCTCCAGAGCCTTGATCTCGTTGCTAAGTTCGTCGATACGAGCTTCGAGCGATCGAAGCTGTGCATTTATAGTGGCGGTGGCGGCGCCAGAGGGGACTTCGGTTGTCTTCATGCTGGGCTGTAGAATTCTACTACCTAGTTAATAACGAGGTCTCTCATATGGAATAGGGTTTTCGAAAGACTTACCGTTGTCTCAAGTTGTAGTGTTAAGTGTAGGATGTTGGATGTTGGATGTAAGTGGTGAAAAGGAATGGGGAAGAAGTAAGTGAGAGAGGTAAGTTGACGCTGCTGTACACCATCTCCTTGGTCATCGTTTGCTGTGGCATGTTTGTTGTTTGTTCTGCCTTAGTATTCACTCAATTGTTTTGACTGACCGAATAATTTCTGTCACTTTGACTAAATTCCTTTGTTTCCCAGGCAGAGGTAAACTTGCTGCCACAGATTGCCACCTGCCACAGTGACGTGGGTATATCCTGTTGGCAGTGATTATTTATTAGCATTTATTGGTACCTACTCAGGTACCTATTCTTTGATGACATTCACCTTACGACTTTCGCACATGGACAGCAATCATCTTCACACAACAAATCTCTCCCGTCCATCGACTGGCGCATCTGAATTCTAACAACGCGCAACAATGTCCAACCAGGCGGAAACACCTGACCCAACCGCTCAGCTCGAACAAACTCTACAACAAACAATATGTCGCTTGGATACACCATTATCGACCTCAAAGAGAGAATGGAAACGTAAAAGCAGAGTTGACTGAGGGGGGCGAGTGAAGGGTCTGAGTAGGATATCTTCTACTCCATGCACGACTGACAGTAGCTTCGGATATTGTCAATTAGGTAGGAGTACCCGGAGGATTGTGATGATAGTGGGGAGGATCACGTGTATATCTCTGCGAAGGACGGCTCGTATCGCTGCATGGACAGTACCTAGGTCAGTTCACCTCCGAGAAATAACTTTAGGTGTCCATAAAGGCAGGTGCCCGGCAGCTGGCAAACCTGCAACCCCTGGAAGGGACGGAACAGCGTGATCACCCTATACAAGTTTAGCCTTAGACAATACCAAATCAATTTCGTTTCTGCTGCATCCTTTGTTTTAGTCCTCACCTCAACAAAGTCGACTGCCATCATGAGCGAGCGAGACCAACATCAGAAGCTGCACGATCTCCTTCAATCCTTCTTGGACCGCAACCCCCATCCGACAGCGATAGAAGCTCTCGAGAGGTTTCTCAATGCTCGCCAAACATTCAGCACCCCCCAAAAGTCTGATCTGGAAGCTACCAGGGAGCGAAGGTATGAATATGCCCTGAAGATCCAGGCGCAGGTCCGAAAGACCCCATCTTCGCAGATCAAGGTTGGGAAGGACGAGAACAGGGAGGACAAGTTTGAACCATTTAGACTCAATGCTGCGCAAGTCTCTACAATCCTCCTCGTTCCCATGAGCGCCCTGGAAGAGGGTGGCTGGCTTGATTGCAAGCTTCCAAGTGTTGAGCCATATCACAACCTGCAACTTGTGGTCAACTTGGTCAAACACTGTAAGGTATCCCTTCGCAGCGTTCCATCACATACTAACTCATACAAGTCCTCACCAACACCCAGGCTGAAAGGGATCCTGCCAGTGTAGCCTCAGCCGCCAGAGGAGAGAGAATCAAATGCCTTCGCCGAGATGGCTTTGGGTGCATCTTCCAGCACACAGAAATCTCGCTAGTGACTTCTATCCTCCCTTCCTCATGGAACGATGACCTCGAAGCCGTCGACGCTACCTTCGCTGTTACTGAAGCCTTCTACGCCTTCTTCGGCGATGTGCTTGCTGCAGAGCTGTGCTCTCCTTTAGCCAACCATACGGAGCTTGGTAGCTCTGATAAATATTGGAACATGTTGATCATGAGCCGCGACCTACGTCACTGCTGGGGCCAAGCGGGTTTTGGGCTATACTGCAAAGATATCACTCCTTGTGAGGAACATGATGAGTCCACTGATCTGACAAAGGTCCCTTTTAATGTCACCATCCAATTCAACTGGCTACGCCGCCGATGGGAGATGCCTAACGACAAGATCACTCTAGAAGGTGATGACAATGAATTTATGAATATGGTCGAAACACAGATCAAATACGAACGAGACGGAAGCCCTCGGTATAAGAACAACTATGGCGTCCTGATCGAGGCCGTACGAGTCGACACAAACACTCCCATCCTTTCAGGGCACGAATTCACGATCACTATGCCAGGAGAAGACGCAAAGAAGTGCAAGTTGATGTTGGATCTCCAATGGGCTATTATCCGGATTGCTGCCATGAGTGGTGCAGCTGGATACCCGGACTTGCTTCCTGACCACCATGATTGGATCAAGGCCAAGTTATTTCGGGAATGAAAAGAGCGTTCTCTAAGACTTAGGGGCTGAGATAGAATAGTCTCAGGTTGAGGACTGAATGTGCATAAAGTGTCAAAAGTATGATAGCCCAGACAAGCCTAATATGATCAAAGCTTTTCGTCCCTGACCTCAATACCAATACAGCCCGAAGTCATCTCTACCCAAGTTCGTAACAGTGGCCTTTGCGTTATGCGGTCTGGCTCAGCACAACGAAGCAGCTATGATCGATTGGATGGAGAAACTCAGCCGGGAGGTAAGCTATCTATCCAACAGCCTCAAGGACGCTCAGGTAAGAGCCAGCAAACTCAGAAACTGCTTCGAAGATACCGATAGTGAGCTTCGAGATCGTGGAGAAGCTAAACCAAGCAGTAAGTCCCTTTTTCATGAGAGAATGTGTCAGCAAGGACGATAGTCTGCAAGTATTCGGGAGGGTGCATTGGGTACCTTATTGGTCTCTTTGGCTTCCTCTTTTTCTTTACTTGTCGGCAGACCCTTGAAGAAGGAGAGTATAGCCATGGTGAAAGGTCGTTGACTTAGAGAGTTAATGTCTCTTGGATGTGGTTAATGTTGGTGGAATGAAGAAAAGCGACCTTTTGTGCAGCAGCCCGAACCTTACGTAAGGGCAAAGTCTTGTGCGAGCAATGGAGTCGTGATGCTTCAAAGTGTAAACTGGGGATGTAAAAGTTTATTCCCGTACGAATGTACGAACTTGGCGGCGCTTGATGAGCCTTCGTTGTCATATTTATAGGGAGTGGGATTGTTATTGTTATGAAGCCACAGATACTAGCTCTAGCCTGGACAGAGAAACAAAAAGGATCATGAGCCGTCTCTTTCATGGGTGCAGTTATAGAAAATTAACCGTCAATACTCTATATAAGCCCTTTTCTTAGATGCATGTAAAACCATATTAACTCCGCAAATTAGTCTTTCCATATTCTTTCGCTGCTGACGTTTGGAAGAGATGTATCTTTGCCATGACTTTCGAGACCATCATCGTCGGTCCCCAGTTTCTTTCCGGCTCTCTCATTACTCTCTCCATTCCCAATGCTATGCAGCTGATACCCCTCCGAGGACTTGAGCTTCCAATTTCCCTTGCTGATGCTCTTGGGCGAGTCACTCTTTTTCTACTTCGACCTGACAAATGAGAGGCCCAAGTAACTGAGAAATCTTGGCAAATATCTGTTCAGGAAAGGTTTTAGGCGCATCAGGTTGTTGCATACAATGCCCATGTTGAGCTCCACTAGAGACCATATACCAGCTTCGGCTTGTTTGCGTGTAAAGTCGGGGTTAGTGGCGAGGATTTAGACGTACGGGGCTCGGACTGTGGGTGCGATCAAGACTCTATAATCCTTTTATTAGTGCGATGACGTGCTGATCGAAAGTTATTCACATACGCGGACCCAACTGAGAGAATAGCACCGACTACCAGCTTTTGTCGAAAAGGTATTTGCAGATAGTAGAGAGTCGGTAGTGGTAGAATGATGATAGACAGATCGGTTGCGATATTAATCACTACTGGCGAGATAGCAAGGTTGTTCAAGTATACGCCTGAGCCTACATCTCTAGGGTTACATGGCCCTGAAGGAAGGATAGTAAATGTTATCGTGTAAATCAGTAGACAGGCGGCAATGATGTAGACCGCAACCTGGTAGCGTCGAGCTGGGCTGATACGATACATAACTGATAGAATGGAGAGTTTGGTCAAGGCCGGACTCCACATATAAGTCAACGCTGTTGGTGAGAGATACTAACAAGGTCAGCCGGCGGATTTATTCCTTGGTCACGAGCACGTACCTTGTTGTAATAAACCATCTCAGCGAGCGTGACATCCCAAGCATGTGAACCCCATCCATACTTCATCATGAGGCATACAGAAATGAAGTATCCCAATGCCGTTGCCCAAGCGAGTGTGATGAGGACTTGACCCACGTTAGATCTTCAATCATGGCAGAGATTGGAAGTACTTACCGACAACAAGCTCCCACTCTTTGACCACCAATACACTAGTAGCATAGCGGATACCGATACTGAGAGTCGCCAAGAACTAAGTCACCGCAAACACGACAATGGTGGCTATCTGAACGCTGGAAAGCGTCCTGCCAAAGTTCGAGATCATGCCATCTGGTGGTAGTATGACAGATGTATTGTATATGTTGACAGCAGCATCCGTGATTCCAAAGGTCGGACTTGGATCAATAACTGATAGGGGGAGAACTTGAACTGAATAACGTGGGAATATGCTGTATTTGTCCTCGTATCTATTGCCAACAACCGGGATTAACATCCCCCGTATAGGAAACCTTAATTTCTAACAGCGACGCTGCTCCGTAGGGGATATCAGCGATTCTGATCCTGAACAACATGACATTCTCGCTAATAGACTTTCGCTTCAGTTTTACTCGAATCCCCCTGATTAGACTAACTGCTTGATGGGAGTCAGAACTTTGACAAGACCTACGCGGATGCACCTCCCGTTAGGTCATGACCAGGGTGAGCCAACCGCATGACTCTTTCTACTCAGCTATTGGACTACGGAAGTGACCTATCAAATTCTGGTGGTCCATACGCAAGGGTATATAATCTTGCCATGATCTGCCGGCATTTGTTCTCAGCTCATTTTGTCAATCTATCTCATTGTCAGCTCTCAGGCCTTACACAATGACCGAGTCCTTGGTAACAGGTTCAAAGCCCCTCCGGGCTGATTTTGACTCAGACAAGGCTCTGCCTATGACCCCAGAAGAAGTTACATCTGCATGGTTATCTTCCGTTCTTGGCGTCACTATCAAAGATTTCGAAATTTGATCAGTCATCCACGACACTGCATCCAAGCTCTTCTTAGACCTCACCTTTGACAGCAATGTTCAAACGGAAATTCCAAACAAGGTCGTTGTCAAGGGCGGTTTCAACCCTGAAATCCGGGTAGCATTTCCCGAGATATGGGCTACATACCGTCGCGAAGCGGAATTCTACTATCGTGTCGCGCCTCAAACGACTATGCTTCTACCAAGAGTTCGGTTCGCGAGTACAAACATTGTTAACGGGCAAGGTATTGTTATCATGTCCGATGTCTCTAGCGAAGCTACCTTTGGAACGATGCTCGAACCATGGACGCCTGGGCGTGTAGGCGAGGGACTCAAGCAGTTGGCTAGTCTTCATGCAAAGACTTAGAATACCAGAGAGGAAGAATATCCTTGGCTATTCGGAAAAGACGGAGCCAAGTTGGAGAAATATTATCTTGGCTCTACTTGAACCAGCACCTTGGGGAGCACGATTTGGAGACGAGAAAATTCGACCGCCTGTCGCAAAGGAATTATTGGACCCAGACCGTGTAAAGCGCGCCTTCCAAGCCCTATGGACTTTCGCGGACGCCGACCAGAAATACTTCTCTCTCATCCATGGAGACGATCACATCGGCAACACTCTCATTTTTAAAGACGGTACCCCCGGATTCATCGACTGGCAGGGTTTACAGTACGGTCCGTCAATTCTTGACGTCTCATACTTCCTCATGGGTTGCTTGACAGTGGAAGACCGGCGACAGCATGAGAAGACGCTCATCGAGACTTACCTTGAGGCTTTACACAAAGAGGGAGGCCCGAAGATGACAAGGGATGACATCTGGGAAGACTATAAAAGATATTGCATGCAGGGCTTTCTTTGGGCCATGACACCGCAGGCCATGCAGCCTGATGAAGCTGTTTTTGCTATGGCGGAGAGGTATTCTGCTGCTATCATGGATCATGGGAAGTCTTGAGTTACTGGGAGTTTAGCCTCCTCCGACAATACATCAGAGTTTACGGCAATTGACCAGAATCATGGTCCCACCTGATTCACTATTAATTCCGATCCTGATCCTCGTGCCTGACAAGACATGACTAGATCGGATGCTAACCGTCTCGGGCACAGACATGGAAAAGCCCTATGATTCTAGCTGTCGCATCTCCGCGGATAAAGAAAAAGGTTATGCAGATGGAAGACAAGATATTTTATGAACGGACTCCGAAGAACCGAGATCATCGCCTGACTGGAATGTTTGCATTAAGGTACCAATTGAACCTTTTGACAAATACTCCGGTGAGAATAACCTTATCTGGTTGTGAGCATTTCGTGACGTATTTAATACGAAACAAACTTCTTCTGGCGCTATCCCACCACAAAGCGAAACGCCGCTCATTCCAGCCGATGGTGACCCTGAGTCGGCCTCTCTAAAAATGTTACCATCCCCGCTTTCGCCCATGTTTACGGGAGTTGATCTGAAGCACAAAATCAATGTATAAAAAGGTTAAATAGAGCTCGGATAACAGAATACATCCTCGGTATGAAGTTATACCGTTGCCTGTCGGGAGGCTTGAAAGAGGTTAGTCGCAGAATCTGTTGAGAGAGAGGCACAGTACAGATAAGTCTAGCCAGGTTAAGGAAGCGAGCACACGAGAAAGAATGTGATGGAAGGGATTGAGCCGCATGCGGCAGCTCCCGTTCAGGAACAGGAACAGGAACGGGAACGGGAACAATGGGTTGGGTGTGCTGTTCAATTGAACGGCTGCGTTCCACGTTGGTTGTGATAATTATTTTGTCAGAATGACCTGACCGTTATGCTTAAAACAGAGTTTGTGTGGCTTAAGAATGCGTGACCAAAACGCTTGCGACAGACGCCGGTAAGTGGGAGAATAAGCGATGCGACACAGTCTGTCGCGATAAAAAGAGTAGAAAGCCAACTGGCCATACGGGTAGCTCGGATGACAAGAGGGAGAATCTTGGCGTCATTCAAACTTCCGGGCTTGCTGGCTCCCGAAGGTTATCGGCACAATTGAACCGAAAACTGGGCAACAGAGACAGGATAGAGTTCACGCGGGGTTGAGATTCTGGTTTGTTGAATTAATTTATTTATGCTTTCCTGGGGTATCGTGTTGAAACTTGAACTATTTATGTTATGTTATGCTTTATGTCGTTATACAAAATGAAGAGTCGTGACGCCATTGACTAAAAACAGGGTTTGGCTTTACAGATAAGTAGCGTGACGCTTGGGTCGCTGGTCTAGCCATGATGATGTCGCGAAAAGGAATGTAGCGCTGGAGGAACAAGGTCAGTATTGGGTGTTAATTGAGATGGGTAATTGAGGGGCTTACATTATGCCTGCGCGACACAAAGCAGTGGCCTTGATAAGACGAATTCCCACCTGGCAGATAGGCTGATGCATGTCCAGATCGTCTTCGGGGTCGCAAGAAATGTCGCTCGCCATGAGAACAACCATGGTGCCAGTAATGAAAGGGCTAATAAATAGAAACCAGAACCACGCTCGGTAGACCTTCTCCTTGAGGGGGGACTCGGTATCGGAGCGGAGGGACGTGTAGATAAAGACGGCGATAATGCTCAGAACTTCGATGGTGCTGATAAGCGCGGCGAGAATGCTACAAGAGTCAGTCAATTGTCGCAATTAATTGATAAGAATGCAGGGAACTTACAGAAAGTTGGGCGCCTCAAATAAAGAAATCTTGGTAAAGGGAATCCAGGATATTAACATGCTGGCAATCCATGGTAGAGCGAAGGCGACGGGCATGAGTCTGTTGGCGAAAATACATCGTAGGTCCATTCTGTCTGCGTCAAGAGGTTCATACCCCTTCTCAAGCAGATGCGCAGGAGGGTGCGACATGGCCGCCTTTTCCTTTTCGTTGTGTTGCCATGTCGGCATGTGGGATGGGCTTGTCGCTTGTTGTTCCATGGCTCCCACTTGGCGATTGACTTGGGTACGTGTTTGAAGGTGAGGTAGAGAGAGAATCAAGAGGGTGTCGAGTTACTGTACAGTACACCTTGCAAAGGAACAAAGAGTTGAAGATCTGCAGAAAACAGCAGACAGGTCTCTTTTTGAACCGAACCATCCCTCCCTCACATCCTCTCCCCCATTTGCTTTTCCCAAGCCCAGTTCGGATACAAGAATTTGGGCGGACCTTGGGCCGTGAAACTAACCGAAGGGAAGCTCTCGAGTGACGCACGTGCAAGCCACAGCCAAGCACACATGGCACAAGGGATTGGACAACAGCACAGGCGGTAATTAACTAAACGGTATAGTATCGTCATATGCAAGGTACATGCATTCAAGTAGGGAACTAGACGGCACCAATCACTTACACCACATGGGCTCAGCTCTGGTCCACTATCTTCTAAACAGGCAAGACCGGGCGCTGTGAATATTGATGCTAGTGATTGGATAGTTGGACAGATAATCAGGTTTCACTCAGAGCATGAGCGTCACATTTTCGAGTGAGGGGTATGACTCGCTTACAGGTAATGGTTGTACAGTTGTCAGTCAGGCAGTACAATTGATCAATGCATGCGGAAGATTTGAGTCTATTCCCCACCCTTTCAATTGCGGCTGTTTCTGTTCGCGTGGGAGGGAGGAGACAACACCTGTCATCTTGGCGACGATCTTCAAAGAATCTGGGGTACATTGAATCCTTCCACGTTTATGTACATCGTCTATCGTGATTTAATTCCAGGGAGATTTAATTGACGCTTCACAAAAGTTTAACTCCTCTGACGAGTTTATTTCACAGTGAGAAGGGAAAGCCTCCTACTTAGCGTCTCGCTAAGAGAATTTTGCGTCATTTTGCTTTACGCCCTGACTTTCTGACGCTGCCTATGCTTGGTTCGCATCAAACGACCCCCAAAACGAAGCAAGGAAAACTGTATACAGTAATGGCCGTTCAATCCGTGTTGGCGCCAAGTCAAATAAAATAAACATGAGCGAATCCAAGCTTTTATCCGCCGTGCCACCGGAGTTATTCTCCTATCGAGATATGTAAAGGTAAAATTTGGTTCAGGGTAGACGCGACGCGAAGGATTGACACGTGCTTATTATCCCGCCTTGCAATCGATAAGCGATAGAGAGATAAATGATAAGAATTCGAGATAAGGATTGGACCCCTGTCTCTCGAGGACCCCTGTGGCTATCACATGTGAATTCAACGGATTCTACTCCGTACCGTGTCCTTTACTCTAATCTTGCGATGCGACACGGGCATGGGTACCATGGCGGATTATCAATTTTGTTGGGATGCATTCGCAATGCTGAATGGATAAAACATAAGAGCTGACTGGAAAGCCATGCTGTAATTGTGCAGTGAAGTACTCGTCATGGTACATCTCATAATTCTCTAGTACCGATATCCGATGCAAGAACAATTCTTCCAGAATCGCAAGCGCTTGGACATTTACTCATTGGGCCGACCAATAGCAGGATATGTAAGAATGATCTTTCACTTTGTTCAGGTAATGGTGGTCAAGGTAGGGCTAACCATTGAGATTCTATCGTGGCCGATGATGTATGGTCAACCACCAGTTCAGTATCTGAGAAGAGGAAGCAATTGAGTTATGCGTATGCTTTAATTGAAGACATGCTCGTCATAGTTGTTACTCAGTGTCCCTCAGACTTTTCCAATTATTACATCTGTCATCCGTACTGATCGTCCCAAGGTATATACATTAACTGAATCCTGATCATCTCTGTGCGCACGGCACTCATATATCTCGGGGGATGTCACGCACATCAGTGGGTCGAACCTTATTCTAATCTGGACTTTTTCGGTCAAGGTTTCTCGGGAATTGACAACGGATCACAGTTGGAGAACGGGATGTTTCAACGTTGCACATTGGATCGGCACTTTCGCGAACTTTGGTGTTTTCGACAAGAACGATCTACCAGAGAATTAGAGAAAGAACACCGTGACCCGAACATCGAATACAGATATTAGATGGACAATGCGGTCAACTGTCAAGGCTGGCTAGTTTATACACCACCTGCTTGAAAGGGAGCTAAGAGTGACAAGTGGCAGTTCATGGTTCGGACGACGAGACTCGGACTGGGATTGGCAAAGCTCAGCGTCACTTCGATAATGCAGACGGTCTTCTCTTTTATATACGGATAACGGCCTTCCATCTTGGATCGACGTCTGGGCGACTCGTCTTACCGACAAAGACTTGGGCAGCATGACTCGGGTGCATGATCCGAATTCTTGGTGATTATCTTTCGACAAGCCTTGGTATCTTGGCAATTTAGCTACCCTCTCGGTTCTACCAGTCGACTCGCTGCCACCGGCAATATTGACATGTTAGTCAGCGGCCGGAATACTGTTTGCCCGCAGTTCTCCATGTCTGGGTGGGTATCAACCCTCTCACAGTGAACCGTCAGCTATACGAAAATCAGGCGATTAGACCCTTTTAAGGAAACTTCGGACAAAAGGATCATGCAAAAACAAAGTAGGAAGAAAAAAAAAAGTTTATTCCCCTTTGCCTAGAATTAATACCGGATATCCTACACAATGCCGACTTGGCGCCAGGACCCAAGATTAAGAGCACCCTTGGCGCATCCACAATTTTACGACAAACCCAGTCACGCTGAGAAAAAAAGAAGAACCGTGAAACCGTATTCTCACTGGAAGAGCTCCCTGAAAGGTCCAGTTTATAGGGAATCCCAGCACCTGAACGCGTCATCAAGCTTGGTAGTAATTTTCGACCACTTTTGTGAGGCAAGCAGCAGCTCAGTCAAGTCAAACTGTCGCATGTTGGAAACTCTGGGCATTCTCGCTAGTGTCTGAGTTGGGTTTAGCTTTTGGGTTGGCAGGTGGCAGTGCTGGCGATGCCTATCCCTTGGCTCTTTGCCCTTTGGCTGATGATCCCATGGGAAGGAGAAGGTTGATATTGGGGGGAAACGACGCCTGTTTTTTCTTCCTCGTCATTTTCCCAACTTTTGCCACATGTAGGGACACAGCGTTCTGGCAATTGATTTCGACACTCTTATGCAACTTATCAATTCCTGTCTAGCTGTCGACGTTCGAGACACAAATGCCTGATATCCAAGTGTGACAAATTTTCCTCTTTCTACAGTCTGCAACTGGCGGTGGGTATGCCGGTGATCATCAATACCCATCCTCACAACATCCTATAAAAAATATGTAAGGGCATCACCTCAATAGCCTCGCTCAGGCAATCTGATAAGCTAAGAGGTTGTTTCACACAGGGCCCCAACAGTGCATTTACCATGGTTTCTATTCGGTGGAATTATGCTTATATTAATATCAGTTATGTACGACCTAACATTGTATCACACGGTTATGCTCACTACTGACATAAGCATCTAGAATATTGGTTAAGCTACCGAGGCTTTACTGTTACCGCGGTCGACCAAGACGGACGTGGAGGAGTAGATTCGCAGACGCTATAACGCCGTCAAGACTCGAAGCTGGGCAGCCAAGAAAACACAGATATGATTGGAGGCGAAGGAATACAGGGGATTCCCATTTCAGTACATCAGAAGTTTGGTGAGTCATATTCTAATCTTGTGTCGAGCTAGTGCTGATTATCATGTAGTGGTGTCTGCTTACAGACTCTTCCGGGCGAACAAAATGTTCGGAGATTATCATGCGAGCATCTTTTCCATACGAGATGCGCCGATTCGTTACGACGAGAACGTCATGAGGACTGTCCATTGTGCAAATCGGTTTTTATTTCCGATAGACAGTGATATGATGATGACACACTTAGCTATAATACCCGCGAGACACAGGGACTAATCTTGCTTTTTAATGACAAATCTACATTTAGAAGTAACTTAATTAATATCAGGTCCTTGATCGACTATGAAGCCATGATACACGTCACGATTTCAGTACAAACTTCAACGACTGAAGTCTCTTGCGTCTCAAAGTACATAATGAATCAAGTTTTGCGAAATTCAACAACATTAAGATGAGATATCTGGCGACATTGTGCAAATGCAAGCTTTTTCAAGACACACACTTGGATGGCCTGTGTTACGACTGCAGACACCTAGTGCAACTCACTATATCTAACTCATCTGAGACCTGACGTATATCATTAAGAGCTTGCTCAGTACCCATTACTGGAGCTACCATTGAACTTGTTGTCTCCATCAGATGAGCTTGACAAAATCATGGAGAGCAATTGAGGCTGGGGTCGTTTACCGTGGTCAGCAGTTTGAATTACAAATGAGAGATAGCTCTCTTGGGTTGCGAGGACTATACCGAGTATTGAACCTTACTATAGATGAATATATAGATAGATGTAGAATACCTTGATTCAAATTTGTTCTTAGCTTTCCTTGACCCTGATTGGCCACCGTCACCAGCACAGAGTAACCCAACAAGACCCACCAGGCTTTTTCCTCAAGTTTTTAGGGGTCCAAGAATCCAATTATCTGTTATCAAAAGGTGATATTCTCTGCCGATCATTAGCTAGGCGAGTTTAATTTCATTTCGATCTAATGACCTGACCTGACTGACATAAGCGCGTCTTGTTTTGATCCAACTCCTTCACCGCCCCCTCCACCAATCCCATTTTCCATCCTCGACCAGAACCTGCATGAAAATCTGAAACAATGGCCGCGACCATTAAAGATCCACAACGGATCGTGGAGATACGGGAAAGTGACATCCCCGTTCCCTGGTGCGATGAATTCGGCAAAATGATCAGTGGCATGAAGTGAGCCCACCTCCTATCTTTTAACGGTATGATGGCTAATCAATACGCGTAGTCTTGATATTAGCAATTCACGGGAGCTTAATGACTTTAAGCTAGGCGTAATGAGAAAACTACGCACGTTCAACAATGATGACATCCCGGATGATATGACTCTTGCGTCTTTGAAGATGAGACGCATGGCACTTGCGAAAGAGATGCTAGGCAAGATGGGAAAGGGCGTCTCTATTGAGCCGCCTTTCTTTGTTATTTGGGGCTGTAATACATTCATTGGCAGTGGAGTCTATATTAACCGACAGTAAGTTAACTCAACTTCTTAGATGGCCATGTCAACTGATTGCAACAAACAGAGTCTCCATCTACGACAATGCTCTCGTCACCATTGGGGATGGTGTCCTCATAGGTCCCGACGTCAGCATCTGCACTACAACACACCCAACAGATAGTAAAGGCCGAAAAGAAGCACAGGGTACATCGTACTCCTTGCCCATACGCATCGAAGCGGACTGCTGGATAGGAGCGAGAGTGACTATCCTGGCGGGGGTCACTATTGGTAGAGGCGCGACGGTGGCTGCAGGTGCAGTTGTCCATAGGGATGTTGAGCCGGAGACCTTAGTGGGTGGTGTGCCGGCGAAATTTATTCGGAGCTTGAAGGAGGTCCCGAAAAATGATGTGATTGAGGAGGAAGATGAGGATGAGGATGGATTATGATACGTGGCATCATCATGTGTACGATAGGAAGGAAGTCGGATGAGGAGAGGGTCAGAGGAATCTGAGTTAATGAGGAGGTTTTCTAATTATGAATTTTAACCTGACGCCGTCGCTTCCGACACATGAACCTCATCTAGTACACCTAAGCGCCCAACAATGCACCGGTAACCTCACCTACCACCTCATCAATAACCCCAGCTAACTCCTTCGAAGCAACAGCTGATAGCAACACCATGACAGTAAAGAAGTCATCACCAGGCACATAGACGCTAATCTGCTTCTCACCAAAGTTCATCAACCCAGCACTTCCATACTTGGCAATCTTATTCCCCTGTCCATCATGCAACTCAAACCCTGATCCAGTGTACTGATTCGGTTTCCACTTGAACCTTCCCATATGCGTGTCAAATGACCAGCTGCCACTCATTGAGCTGTATTTGATGACCATGGGCTGATTGTACACCGACATATCGACTGTTGAAGTGCTTATGTGCATGGAGGCTGTTGCAATGATATTCTCAGGGGCTGGAGGGCCTCGATGGACAAGGAAACTGGGATTGGTTGGGCGCTTAGATATTGTGTAGAGGGGAGGTGCGTCTTTGGGAAAGCCAGTGGGGGTGACGAAGAGGATGTCTTCGTTATTAGGATGAGGTCGGATAAGGAGTGACTGGGAGCCATCATTGGCAGAGACGCTTTGGGGGTTTGATGACCCGTATAAAACTTTGTTCAAAAGTTCTCTCATTATGGATTTCGTATCAGGAAAGAGATGTGGAAGTGATTGATTGGGTATATCCTTTATCTACAGGGAGCCAAGAAGGATTTCGACCAGATTTATACTCAAATCAAGAACGCCCTATCAAGATGCAATTTCGACATGGTATAAGCAGTATTCCGAAAACATATCCATACCGCGACTGAGGTTGTACAACGATCTACATATCTCATCTAATGCACAGCCATGGGTGGCAACGTGGCGGTTACATGCCACCACAGGACAGGACAGGGCTGAGCATCTCACACAGAACCGCTGATCTCGGGACAATCGATGTCAGTATGCCTTGGATCGACATATCGTCTTGAACTGATTCGCTACCGATAGTTCACAAGCTCATTAAGCATCGGAGTCAACGGTCGAATGAGACGCATCTTGAAGGATGCCTCAATTAGAACCCTCATTCTCCTGCAGCAGACATTCAACGCTATACCAAACAAGGAAAAACGCTGCGCTCCATCTCATCCTTCAGTGGAGCAAATCCAATCAGACGCCAAAGATTATGTCTCTAAGGCTGAGCCCTGGTTCTTCTCCAATTCAGCCTTTTGGACACAACAAAGCGGGGCGTAGAGACCAAGACCAAGATTTAACTAAATATCACCTTCATCCACCGCTCGCTTCATTCAAATTTTGACTGTTTTGGGTTACATTGACCGCTTGACTAAAACCAAACCAGAATGCCGGGTGTTCCGTCTTACAAAGGCTGCGATGCTTGTCGAAAGCAGAAGAAGAAGGTGAGTCTTATCCGACTGATCGGCGGGAGGGATACGTTACGGATCTGACCACCGGAAATAGTGCGATAAAGCTCAGCCGAGATGTGCTCGTTGCGAGAGACTCGATATTGCCTGCGTCAACGTGGGTAAACAGCGCTACAAGTTCAAAGTCAGGACTCTAGAGCATGGCTCGAGCAATTCAACACCTCAGATCGTCGACACAGATAGTGACTCCAGTTCACGAAAGTCGTCATCACCGTTACAAGCTCTGATTAAAGTTCCGAGTAATCCGACGACCAAAGTAACCCACACGTTGGTATCAAGACTGGAGATTACAGACTTGCGTTACGATATCACCTGTTATGGAGACTTTTTGCGACATATTCCTGCCAGGTTGGGGAGGAATGAGGCTCTTGATGCTTCGGCTGATGCTTTGGCTACGACGTTCTCGACATTGCATATGCCGCAGGGCTATCAGACTATCGATGCGTTGACGAAATATGGAAAGGCGCTGGGTGCGTTGAGGTTGTGTTTGGCTAATCCAGCCAAGGCGAGGATGCCCGAGACTATGTGTGCTGTTTATCTGATCATGATCTGTCAGGTTTGTAATATACGTCTTTACAGCATTCAATGGACACTGACATATTTCAGGGTTGGCTGGGACGAGATGATGATCCGAATACAAGTCATGGCCAAGGTCTAGCATATCTGCTCAAAGCAGCAGCACGAGAGAACTGGAAAGCAGGTTTCGAAACAGAAATGATTCTCACCTTCTGCGTCCCAGTAGTACGCCACTTGCCCTCCCACAACCTCAAAACCCCAACTAACAACTTTCAAGATCATTGAGAGTATCTCAAATCCCAAAGTCAGATTAGAAAAGTGGTTCTGGGACATGCTCGATAACTTCAAGAAAAACAACCCTCCTACTCCAGCCGAAACCCGACATAGAGAACAAGAAGGCCAAGACGCCGGTATCCCAAGTCTCTCGATAAGAAATCTAGGAAGACTACCTGACTTTATCAATGAGCCCGAGATACATCGTATGGAGATTACTTGTGCTTATCACAGGTTATGTCGAGACCTGCGCAAGGTATCCGAGATCGTCAAAGCCGTTACGTGGGAACCTGGATACCAACCCACGCCAATGCAACTCCGCTTATCACGCTCTTACAATTCAGCATACTCTGTTATGCTAACGGTTCTCGTTATCATGAACGCACTCATGCAGGCCTTCGATCCCTACAACCTCGCCCTCGTGGGTGAAGCAGCACTGTGTTCCTCAGAAGTGGTCTCCATGGCACAGAGGATAAGTCAGTACCGACCTCTAGGCGCAAGTCATGTACCTCTTGCTCTAGCTATTGCTTGGGCTGCTACAGAAGAACAAGGCCTGAAGGCACAGCTTGACGAGCTTATGAAGGAGTATCAGCAGGATTGGATGGTGACGTGCTGGGACAAAGTTGGGTACTGGTGGATGGATAAGTTTGCCGAGTTGAAGGAGAGGTTGGCCCCGAGGGTTGTGTCGCCTGAGCAAGAGGATGTCTTGGTTGCTCAAGGTGAAAGTGCGATCACTGTGGGTTCGAGGGCCAAGCAGCCTGCGGAGGAGTGTTGTGTTATGTAGATCCTACTATGATGTTTGAAGAGTGATAGACGATTCACGAACAACTCTTAAAGTAGTGAATGTGTAATAACAGAGTATCATCATCTTCCTTCGCATTGTTGGTACTCCCAACATTGATTGGTAATGGGAAGTTGGGGAAAGATTTCTTGCTTGTACAGACGTGAAGGATTCGAACTTACACAGTCTGATATTGCACAGCCTCCACTAGATGCTTAATCCGATCCATCTTAAAGCTTCTGACAAGGAAGAGTGAGCGATTTTGATGACACGATGTTAGTGTAAGTGAAAGCTTGTGGTCAGAGAGCCATCAGCAATACCACTCAAACTAACCTCCAAAAAACCGTTATCTCGATGAAAACCTACCTCAAACCGCCAAACAGAGACAAAACCTCTACTATGACGATTACATTCAATTGCTCGCCAATAAAACGTGGTGGCGCAGTGAAGTTCGCGATCGGGGCGGTGCTGAGGTTTTATGGTGGACACGGTCAGATTTGACCGATGAGGGCAAGGGTTGTTGTTCCCGACCGCCTATCGCCATTGGTCGTTTGCTGACATCTGCGTTCTATCACACAAACTATCACAGAATGGTTCTCATAGCTTGACTGAAACTGTCAAGAGCACGTTCAAATCTCTCGCAAGAGTGTTAGATTAGTTGGAAAATTGTAAGTTGGGCTGAGGCTGTGTTGAAGCTTGGAGATGTTTTGAATGTATCGCGACTTTTGAGGAGGCAGTGTTGAGCATTGATGAGTCTGAAGGATCAAATCGTCGGTCTTTAGGTACTACGGAAGCCTTTCTAAAGAAGAGATCATTGATCATCATTATAGTATGATAAAACGAAGAAGAGTATAAATCTCAGACATGATACCATGAAAAAGCATCATCGAAAACTCAACAGTCGTTACTAAAACATCCATTTACAAATGTTCCTGTGCTCTATCTCAAGCTCAGCTGTTCAATCAGACAGTCTAACCATCAAACGCTCCAAAGATGGAAAACTCGTCTTCATCCCCAAGGCAGACAAATCGTCGCCCTCAACTAAGCCTTCAACAACCTCAAGTCCCCAAGGCAATGTCGGAACCAATGTTCAGCCCAACGGGTCTGCTAGGAGATAGATATGATCTTCTTAGACAAGAGATGGAAGAGCGATCACGCTCTGCTACAAACAGGCCAAGAGAGAGTCCTTTCAATGGTGGCTTGCTCGGTGCTTTGGAAGAGTACGAGAACCAACAGATGCCTCGTGGTCAACAGGCTGGTTGGAGCTTGGCGCGAGCGCCGTCGAGAAGATCTTCTCGTGGTCCTGATGATGCACAATACGTCAGCCGTCCTAGGCGAACTTCGAGTGTGTCTTCTACTAGGACTGACTCTATCTACTGCGCTCAAACAGGCGTCACGCCAGCACCGTTACTTGATATGTCGTCTACAGCGCCACAAAGACAACCATCATGGCGAGCCAGAGCTTCGACTGGACAGTCTCTTTTGGCTTTGCCCGAGAGCTCTGGGGGTCGGTGGAATACACCTCCAGCGCTGAACAGAAGTCGCTCAACGGCTGTTCGGCCATCGGGTATGGGAAGGTCTGATACCTGGCCTGATGCTGCAGATTCTATGAGATTAAATCGCAGAGGATCTTCGGCGAGTTCATCTGCTAGGCCGATGACTTGGAATGAAGCTGCTAGGACCGAGCCAGCTAGAAGGGGTACGTTGCGACGGTGCTAATGGTCATTATAATCTTTGGATGGACGACGGACGTCTCAGAATATATGGATGGGCTAATGATAATTTTATAATGCTGGAAGAGGTATCAGTGAAGGAAGTGGTAATTCTAATCTATTTATAGAACAATAATAATAGTTATGTTTCCTCTATGAGGTGGAAATGGAGGGTACCGAAGCGTAGGTCGTAGTTCTGGGGCCCGGGATCGAACATCATCTCCGGTGCTGTTTCCCTTTGTTCAAGAAGTGAATCACTATTGGGCAGCAATAACTCCAAGAACTTGGGCCGCTATCTATCAATGTTGAATGTTGTATCAACTGATACGACGCTAGTTTCTGCCAATCACCAACCGTATAGCCATGGATTCTTTCGCTTGTTGGGACTCATCGAGACCATGTGTTGATTATTACACTGGATCTTGTCCGGAATGTGGGTATAATTGTCTTTAGCTAGCATCAAACGTGACGAGACAATGCGACCTGATCACTGGTAAAGACATTGGTTCTTTTACGTGTCTTGACTCAAAAGTCTAACCCGCGAAGGTCAAGCGCTATAAAACACGACAAATCAACCAGGCATGGAAATTACTAAATCCGCCAGCCCCGAAAGCGTCACCGGGTTAGTTTTACCAAAACGGGGCAGCAAGGAATTTGCCATGGGAGGACCCGTCTCGACCTCAACACAGAGGTATGGACTTTATTGCCGGGCGGGGATTGAATGATGAATGTGATGATGCGAATTTGTCACCGGCGCTGGCTGAGTTGCTGGGGATCTATGCCCTATAGGGATTGTGCAGTCTAGGTTGAGAAACTTGTGAGATGTGCGCACAGAAGGAGGCTGAGACATCCTTCAGCTTCAGCTTGGCGGGTACTTGAAAGAGTAGAAATTGGGATCTGTCCATGTTGATCGAGATCAATCGAAAAAAACAAGGCTATAGTACTTGGCCAGCTTCTGTTTAAAGCCCAGAGGTAGCATTGAAGGTCCGAAATCCAATCTAGCCCTCTCCCACGATGTGACCTAAGCTGTCGCTCAATCTAAAAGCCAATCCCACGATCCACACAGCTTACTCAACTAAAACTCCAGATCGAAAGCTATCACAAGGTTGACAGGTTCCACCTATCACATATCCGGGAACACGACCGGAGTTGGGAGTTAGACTTCTGTTCCTTGCAGAGGTCAATCAGTAATTCCAATTAGTTCAGAGTTCAGACCATGCTCAAGAAAAGTTTCCGTCCGCAAGCGGCTACCACATCATGGATCCGCCTCCCCGACGATCTGATCCCTGTGTCAGAAAAATAAGGTTCACTAGGATGAGGCTTGGCGCTGATAAAGGAGGTTGATCCTTGATCCAGGGCTTTGGACTCGGTAAATGAGGTTGAACTGTAATGGCTTGCTGATTGTTGCATTGTACATTCTGTATTTGGTATTGAGATGTTTCATTTTAAACAAAATAAAAGGGTTTCTAGATTTCAACAGATTAATGACGGGTATTGACAAGATTGACATGTCAGATTGACTCGACCCTGCTTGACTCGAGATCCCCCATGGCGTCGACCATTTCAGTGGCGTTTCATTAGCAGGCCACTAGACACATTAGCCCGTCTCACTTGACTACAGGCCAGGGTCATAGATATAATTATCAGCTGCACCTACGCGTGGCCCGCGTCCGTCCACTTTGCTCTCTTCATTTCATTATTCCCTCCAGTTACGCCATGTTTATCACGATTACATAACACCAACCTCACATTTTGCCCGGCTGGCTTGACCGCCGACGATATTCCCGTCAAGATGATTTCCAGCAAGGCCGTTATGGTAGGAAAAAAAAACTAATGGGCTGAGATTAGGGTGCTAATTGGTTGCAGGCCTTTGAATGGACTCTTCTGACCATCGCGTATATCTTGGTTGCTGCTCGTGTTTACGTGCGGCTATGGCTACGCAATGCGAGGTTATATTCGGCTGATTACTGGCTTTTTGCCGGATTGGCGGCCTGTCAAGGATTACTCATATGTGATACTTTGACATATGAGATGAATGCCATGGACGACTTTATGATGTCCAGCGTAGCTCTCAAAAAGGTACAATCACCACAACCACTCTCAGATCAACACTAACAGGGCCTACAGACCCGCTTCATGACGAATTACTTCTTCGACTTTGGCATCTACTTCCCTAAATTCAGCATCATAGCATTTTACTTTAATCTCGTTCCCTGTACACACCCAGGAATGCGAACTCTCCTCTACGCCTTGGCAGCTCTTACAGCATCTTTCTCGCTCGTCACCTTTTTCGCCGATACGTTTTGGTGCGGACCGGATCCTTCGGTGAACTGGCTTGATACCGATGAGGAGCATTGTCAGGCTTTTATGTCGATGACGCTCATGAAAATTAATTGGTCTATGAACTTTACCTCTGAAGTGTTGAGTATGTTGTGTCTCAATCGTGTGTATGGATTGTACTGACTTGTTAGATGTTCTTTATCCGATTCCCTTATTGAAAGAGCTCAAGGTTAATTCGACACGAAAGAAGATTGGATTAGCTGTTGTTTTCAGTCTTGGGCTTGTTACGATTATCGTCAGTATTGGACGATTCATCACAACGACCTTTGTCAGCAACGACATCTCAATATGTACGTCCTTCCCTCACCCTTTCTACCTCATAATCTAACACAATCTAGACATCTGGGCAACAGCCGAGATCTGCATCTCAGTAATGGTCGTAGCTAGCACAGCTCTACGACCCCTCCTCCGAAAAATGTCAAACATTAGTATGATGAGCAGCAATGACCACCACCACGCGGGCCCCGTAAAGCAACCTGAAGTCAATGGCGTCGGCACGATTGGGTCGGGGGCGTATTGGAGTAGGAGGAGAAACCAACCAACTCACAGCCTCTCTGGGAGTGAGACGGAATTAAATACGATGAACGGGGTTGTCTCGACACATCACGTTGGGTCCAGAGAGACAATGGTTAATATACCTGAAAGGCAGGAAGAGTTTAAAGTATAGATGGACTGGAAGATACCCCTTTGCTCAGAGCATAATAAATAAAATTACTTCATATCGTGACAGAACCAAGATTACAAGCGGAGTCAGACAGATGACATTACAAGCTGGTGAAATCCTGGCTGCTGCGGGCGGACACTAACTACTGTTACGTTTGGAACCAACTCAGCGATGCGAAGAACTCGTAACTTGAAGGGCCAATGAAAGTCATGATGAAAAGCTTCAGACCTCTTCTGCAGATCTCTTTACCCAGCCTCCACTTGTGGGTGGGTGAAGTGTCATTCCAACAGTGCGTGTGGAGATTACCACATTAGGAAAATCTCCCCGCGGAGCCTTTCTCCATGTTCGACCTCTTACTTCGTATCGTGAAGTATAAAGCTCCAGAAATTGGGAGGGCGAACAGAAAATCATTCCTCCTCATCTTGCCCCATGCTGAAACTTGTTAAGAACTTGACCATTCGCCATGCCTCACGCTCAGAGCAATTCTACCATTGAGGGCGTAGAGCTCCACGTCAATGATGGCCTTCTGGCCCAAACGGAAGTTGCCAAACTTCAACCCTCTTCCCTCGATGAACCTCTCAATGTTCTCTATCAGAGGTTTCTGTCCAATGGCTATCTTCTAGTCAGGGGTCTTCTTCCTTGCGAAGATGTCCTTGCAGCTCGCGAAGCATACTTCACATCCATGGCCCCAAGCGGTGTTCTCAAACCCGGAACATCCCCCGTCGAAGGCATCTTCGACGATGCAGCAGATCCAGCTGACTATCCAGGTATTGGCGCTGGTAGTGGTCAAAACTCTCGACCTGGCGAGACGAGCGAGTCGAATACATTTGTCGACGCAGCTCTCAAAGCCCACACCGAGCCTTGGTACGCTGGTCCAAAGGGCTTCTGTAGCCATCCCGTTCTCAAAGATTTCGTGTCCCGCCTAACAGGCTGGGGCTCAAACACCTTACCCGTCCGCCGTACCCTTCTCCGCAACAACACACCAGGCAACAAAGCCATCGGAGTACACTACGACCAATCCTTTATGCGCTATGGCGAACCAACCTCTGTAACAGCCTGGGTCCCCATGGGCGATATTGCACTCGACGGAGGCGGTCTCATTTATCTCGAAAACAGCGAAGCACTGGGTGCAGAGATAGAAAATGATTTTGCGAAGAAGGCCAGAGATGCGGGTATGAGTAATGAAGAGATGAGAGATGCCTTCAATAAGAATATGATGAGTACAGGATTCTTGGCAGACGGACCTGCAACTTTTGGGAGGGAGCATGGTAGGAAGTGGCTTGTTAGTAGGTATGAGGCTGGAGATGTCGTGTTTCATACTCCGCATATGGTACGTAACTGACTGTGCAAGGGGAGATGGAAGCTAATGTGGTGCGCAGATACATGCTTCGACAATCAACCATGACAAGCAGAATCGGATTAGATTGGGTACTGATTTGAGATTTGTCAACTCGGCGCGACCATGGGATAAAGTAAGTACGTTCCGACATCCCGCAACAAGGCGACGCTAACGAGCTGAAGCGATGGGACAAGGACTTTGAGTTTGGTGATGGCGTCTAACATTGGATGTCTGACACAAATTCCGCAGATAGCTGAAACAATAGCTTTATTCAAATATTTTGGTCTTGTGCCCTCATACCAGCCCTGTCTGCGTCATTCCATTGTGTCTCCAAGGTTTCAATAAGCCTCTTTGTCTTCCATCTGATCAACTGTTCCACCTTCTCCAAGTATCGTATCGTATGTCTTCGTACACATGGATCGTTTATACAGTATCCACCTTAAAATTATTAGAACTTGGCGTAAAGTCATTCTTATACTTACAGAGTGATAACATATGTGCCGGTAAAAAGAACGCGTTGCCTGCTTGTTCATTTGACAGTGCCAAACTCATGAGGGTGCATAGATAAGAGGATATTGTTTCCTATCTCGACGTCAGCTTAATAAACCAAAACCTCCATGGCTATCTGACCTGTATGTTATGGGTAGCTGGGTCGTTCTGATCCTCCAAATCATTGAGAGTGTCAAGACAGAGCACTGTCTTGGCAGCAAAGTAATGCTGCATCCCAACCACTATACCATATTAGCCGCTGCCCACAACACGCTAAAAATAATCTTACCAGGCACAGAAGCCGCAAAGCAAATCACTGGAAACGGTCTATCCTCCAACACATCTCCCTTCTTGTGGAATATCGGCTTAAACGACACAGGCCTCTCCTCAAACCACTTCTCGACCTCGTCTTTAACATGTTCCCACTGCCTCTTTCCCAAGAACATCTTCATAATCCTTGCAAACAGAAACACTGCCCGATTCGCCCAAGCAGAGTCATCCCTCCGTTGGAAGACACCCGATCTCTCAAAATTCTCTAGACAAATCTCTACTGGTACCTTTCTTGCAACATACACATAGATCGTCTGTCTCAAGTGTACCCAACTTGCCGCCTCCGCCAGTTCACCTTCCATGACGAACCTGGAAATAACCTCATGATTCAGTAAGTTTTGCGTACCGGAGAGGTGAGTGTGTGGATCAGAGGATGGGTCATTCTCTTCGTAGAGACGGGCTAGGACCACGGACGTTAGAAGGGTTGTATCCCAGGGTAGGTCAAAAGCGCGTATGAGAAGATTGATATGCTTGTTGTGGTAGTATGTGCTTTCTAGCGTGGTGGGGGAGTCGTAGCGGCTGGATAGGGCGAGAATACCATGGAGGATCATGGGGTTCTGGAGAGCGAGATGAGGGACTTGGAGGGTGAAATGGCGAGCGTCATCGCAGGCGTCGGACTGTATGCGTCAGTAAGGCACAGTATTAGGCAATGGGAACTTACTAAAGGTGCTAGTTTGTGGACATATGTCATGAAGAGGAAGGCTTCTCGTTCGGTAAGTGGTTGAACATCTTGGGTAGACATGGATTGCGGTATCGAGGAAGCAAGATGGGTAGTTTCAGTTGCCGTCAGACTATGTCCAGATCTAGATCCCGGGGTTAGCGCTTCCGTTCCGTTGGCCGTGGGTAGAATTATTGTGGCAGATATATCTGGGTTCGAATGCTCCACGGTTGCATCTTGCGTCGTAGAGATGTCACCATTAATCCCTCGCGGTGTCGTGAACGAGACTAGCGGGAAGTTATGAGCAAGATCTATTACAGAGACAGAGAAAAACGGCAACATACTTGTCCCCGGCACTTCCACCTCTTCCCTTCCATCTTGTCTGTTCTGTAGATGATTATACTTGAAACGAATGGCACTCTCGAATTGACAGTTTTGACTTGACTCAATACAAGCCCCGCATTGTGAAGCTCCTGGCTGGATGACACATTTTCTATGTCGTCGACGACAGGACGTACAGCAATTCTTCCTCTTACTTTGAGCGGCTTTGGTAGGCATTGCACCCGAGTGATAGGTGGGATGAAAGAGGCATATTGTCTTCAGTGGGTTGATGTTAGACAGGCGCTAAATTAGCCTCTGGGGCTGCGTGATTACTGGTAGTTCAATCCCATCATCATCAAGCTGGAGAACCTCATTATTCTACGCCAGAGTTTACTCTTGATATCCAGATATCTCTTTACCTTAAGAAGTACTACCAGCCATTTGACATTCGAAGGACAGGCAATGTCTTCCCACCGCCTTTCTCTTAGAGTGTCAGGATGCATCAGACCACCACCACAACGCCTTCACAAGACCAATAAACACGACAACCATCAGCGCAAGCCTTTAATATAAATGTCTATGATACAGCGGAATGCGTACGGAATCAATTGACGGAATCCGCTTCATCCATCCGACGGGCCGTCCTGACGAAGCTGGAAACCCTCCCCGATTATTTCCCCAAGCAGGTTAGCTCAGTCTGCTGGAATAAGCATAACAAACCCCGCGTTATCACCACCCACTCAGACAGTCAGTCCTTCCTTCCCTGCTGGAATGACTTCCCTTTTGAGACGTCGAGTCAATTTCTTCCGCTCCACCGCTGATCTCATAAATACCGCCAAGCTTGACTCTCCCTTCCTCACTTTTTCTTCCTGCATGCACAGGCGTTATGGCGACCGTTACTCAAACACAAACACAAGAGCCGATTGAGCTCACGACGCTGGAAGGATGTCATGTCCGCGGTAAAGATAACGAGGAGCAGCATTCTTTACCACCTGAAGATGTACCTCCGCCATACGCGCAAACACAAGCGCAGAGATGGAACTACCCGAGGGGAAATATGGCCAAGCTTGGGTTTGCTTTCTTATCATTCATCATTGCTGGGATGAATGATGCGGCTGTTGGAGTATGTATTCCTCCTCCGTTCAATTGAATGATGCTAACTTTCACAGGCTTTAATCCCATATGTATGTTGAGCAGATGAGATTGATGGATGGTAGCTGACAACAATAGCTCGAAACATATTACGATCTAAGCTACACAATCATCTCCCTTATTTTCTTGACCCCATTCGCAGGCTACTCCGTCGCAGCTTTCACCAATGCACGCATCCATATGAAGTTCGGACAGCGTGGTGTTGCGATAATGGCTCCCATCTGCCATCTTATCACCTTTGTCGCATTGGCTCTCCACCCGCCGTACCCTGTTCTCGTGGTCTGCAACGTCTTCAGCGGTTTCGGCAACGGTCTTACCGATGCTTGCTTTTGCGCGTGGGTAGGCGCAATGGATAAGGCGAATACGGTACAGGGTTTCTTGCACGCTTCGTATTCGCTTGGTGCTTTGTTTTCGCCACTTATTGCGACGAGTCTGGTTGTTAGTTATGAGTTACCTTGGTACACTTTCTACTATATCATGGTGAGTTTATTCTGTGATGACTTTGGGATCTGACTGATGTTTGAAGATTGGTATCGCGACTCTTGAGTGGGTTGGTCTCACTGTTTCCTTCTGGCGAATGACTGGTGCTGTATATCAGCTCGAGCATAAGAATGAATCGGAAGATACAGGCGCCGGGACGCGAGAAGCGCTGAAGTCAAAGGTTACATGGCTCTGTTCGCTGTTCTTCTTTGCCTACATGGGCGTTGAAGGTATGTTGCCCTCTACAGTGGCCTGGTCTATCGCTAATATTCTATAGTTGGTCTTGGAGGTTGGGTTGTCACATTCATGCTCCGCGTCCGAAAAGCCTCAGCCTACGCTTCTGGTGCATCCGGAACCGGCTTCTGGGCCGGCATGGCTCTTGGTCGTGCCTGTCTCGGTTTCGTAACCGAGCGCTTCGGCGAAAGACTTTGTTTATCCATTTACCTCGTCATCTGCATCGGCCTCCAGCTTCTTTTCTGGCTCGTACCTAAATTCATCGTCTCAGCTGTCGCCGTAGCCTTTCTGGGCTTCTTCTTGGGACCTATGTTTCCTGGAGCAGTCATGGTAACTGCTAAGCTTTTGCCAGCTAAAATCCATGTTTCTGCGATTGGATTCGCTATGGCTATTGGTGGTACTGGCGGAACTGTGTTTCCATTTGCCATTGGTGCCATTGCGAACCACAAGGGTGTCGGAGTGCTGCAGCCAATTATTCTGGCGTTGATCACGGTTGTCGCAGGTGTTTGGTTGAGTTTTCCCAGGATCCAAAAGAAGGATTGAGGGAAAGGAAGACTTTGGAAGTGCCATTGAACAAAAGTGGAGATGTTACGGAGTATAATAGTTAGACACATGAAGTTGAAATGTTGTGGTTGTGACCTGTTTGTAACGCTACTCGTGCGAACCAAACCGTAGTCCAGCTGTGGATGTTAACACAACAAACATAAATGTTCATTTGTCTAACCATCACCACCTCCTTCACATGTTGGATAACCATCCAAGCATAGAAGTAAAAAGAAGCTAAAATCACCAAAACTCATAGACTGTCTTCATGCCATCCATGCTCGAATGTTCAAGCCGCGCAGCAATTGCTATCCACTTACCCCAGACCCAGAGTCTTGAATCGGTCTCGATCGCGATGCATTTCCACCGGCGAGAACTCCGAATTTAGCGCCCCTCATCAGCCGGGGAATTGTTCCGACCAATAGCCATCCTCTAATACCACACTTTTATGGATTCAACGGCCAGAATTGCCCTGATTTACGGGCAAAATTACGCTGTTGAGATACGGCATTCTCTCAACAATGTCCATCGGCCGAGGGTCCGACCTTGATATTAAAACCATGGCTCTTATCGCCTGATTCATATTCATCTCATCGTATCACGGCCAATCTCAACCTCTTCAATCTATCAACTCTCGGACTCTATCTCACTCGTAATTACAGCCAAAATGACCAAACCAATCGTCCTCCAGCTCGGCGACGACATAAAATGGAATCACGATCTTTACAAAACATTCACCAGCAGCTTTGAGATCAAGCGCTCCCACAGCATGTCACGCCCAGAATTCATCCAAGCCCTCAAGTCTAAATCTTTTGGTGACTTTTTCGCCATCTACAGACCATTCTGGAACACAGGTGGTGAGATGGGTAACTGGGATGAAGAGTTGGTTTCTCTTCTACCTGCTTCGTGCAAGATTTATGCTAGTGCTGGTGCTGGGTTTGATTGGGTTGATACTGCTGCTCTTGCAAAGAGAGGAATCACATACTGCAACGCTGCGGCTGCTTGTACAGAGTCTGTCGCAGACGCAGCAATCTGGCTCATCATTTCTGTCTTCCGTCAATTATCCTGGTCGCACATCGCCGCCCGATCAGGATCTTCAGAGCAATTCCTCGATGCCCAGCGCAATCTAGCTCCTGTATCTCGCAACCCCCAGGGCTTCACTCTCGGCATCATCGGTTTTGGCAGAATTGGCCGTCGCATCGCAGAAAAAGCCTACAAGGCGCTTGACATGAAGATCATCTACAACGACATAGCCCGCATGCCCACCTCAATCGAAGAACCTCTGAAGGCAGTCTACCACCCCTCAGCGGACACGCTCCTCGCAGAAGCAGACTGCGTTCTTGTCGCGACACCATTCGCAGGCGAAACCCTTCTTAACAAAGAAGGTCTAGCCAAGATGAAGAAGGGAGCGAAACTTGTCAACATTGCACGAGGAAAGTTGATCAATGAGAAGGATCTTGTTGAGGCACTTAAGAGTGGACAGCTTTCTGGTGCTGGATTGGATGTTTTTGAGCATGAGCCTGTCATTAGCCCTGAGCTGATTGAGATGAAGAACGTCGAGTTATTGTCGCATAATGCGGGTGCCTCATTGGATTCACATGTTGGATTTGAGAAGCTGGGTATGGAAAACATTCTGTCTTACCACAAGACAGGCAAGGCTATTTCGCCTGTCAACGCTCACTTGATCAAGCAGAGCAAGCTATAGGATTTTGATATCAGGAGTTTAATCTAGGTTAATTAATAAAAGTCTCGACCCATGTCCGCCACGATGGCGATATTATCTCGGTTGATTAATTGCTTTTGAGAGATGTTTATTCTATTAAGTGGTGGTAGGATCACACGCACAGGCCAATCCGCGTCGGAAGATCATCCTCCCCCATACAACGCATAAAGACGTGCGTCTAGCGGCTGACGGATGAAACACAGCATAACTCAGACTCGATCCTACCAACGAGAAGGATTATTCCTTTGTCCCTTTATCAAAGATTTCTCCTTACACTTTTGAAACCATTCAAGTCGGTAAATGCATGTCACCAATTATTGGGAATGGCCTCTATTGGGCGTCTAACCGCCATTATGATTTGCAGGACCTATATCAGACTGTATTATTGTTGAAGTCTATTGAAATATTAGAAACACTCTCGGAGCAATAACCGCGGATTCGGACCGTTGACTGGCTAGGATGAGATGAAAGGAGCATAGACAGTTTCTTCATCCCTCCAAAACAGATTTGTTTGAGCTTTCTTGAACCCTTGTTTCAAGTCCGTCCTAGCTCCTCCTCCCACGAACCAATCATGTGGCAAAACATGCATCATCAGCCTCTTCCCTCAAATATATACAAAACGTTTGCAATAATCCCCTGTTTATTTCATGCGATTCCTCCCATGTTTCTATGAGGATGCATCCTTGAAGAACATCTCAATCCTTTGGGTCTTGAAACACTTGATGTAGTTATATAGCTCTGTAGTAAACCGCCATGTTCGAACTTGTTCTGTAAAGCTCTCTTCACTTTCTTTTCATTCATTCATTCATTCATTTCTTATAAGTCATTCTTTGATAGGATGCGTTCATTCCTTTTCTTAGCTGGCCTTCTCGGCACAGCTTTTGCCGCTCCTTTCCAATCCTCCCAGTCCCTCATTCGTCGTCAGGATACTACACCAGAGGGCTTCATTAGAGTAAACCCCGGCAAGATCCAAGTCGGAGACGATAACCTACTCAATGGCACATACGCGAATAACAAAACACAAGTCTTCAACCGCAGAGCGGAACCTGCTTCGCTGCCTCTCAAGTTAGTAAACAACTTCAGTGGCGGGAACGTCCGAGCGTATATTTCAGGGCTGGACTCTGACGGGACAGTCGTTTTCATCGGGCCTGATGGAAATTTAGTCTATCCTAAATCAGGCGGCTCGAAAGAACCCGTCGAGATCAAGGAGAACATCGCCATTCCTCTTCCACCCCAAGGACAAACCTTGGATTTTACGATTCCTATTTCTATGTCCTCTGGACGTGTTTACTTCGCCAACGATGATCTTCACTTCTTTACGGTCGATATCGGAAATGGCGATGGTCTGGTCCAGCCTTCTGTTACGAACCTCCAAGATCCCAGTGCTGGTGTGGACTGGGGTTTTGTAGAACTCACCTTCACAAATGGCGTTCTCTATGCGAACATCAGCTACGTCGACTTTGTTGGTATTCCGCTTGGTATGGGTCTTGCTCTCAAGGATGGAAGCGAGCAGACGTGTCAAGGTCTTGAATCTGGTGCTGTGGCCAAGATCTGCGATGATCTTGTTAAACAGAAAGATGCTGATGGCCGGGCGTGGACCTTTATGTGCATTGCGAATAAGGAGGGTAAACCTGTTCGTGTGCTTTCGCCTGGCAATCAGTATGACCTGGAACCGATCAGCTTCGGGGACTACTGGGATTCTTATGTCAATGATGTCTGGGCGAAGTACACCAACCAGGATCTCATCATCAACACACAGTCTGAAGCGGGCGAGGTCAAATGTCGTGTCAATGGTGAAGAACTTACCTGTGACGGCGACAACCGCGGCTACGCGAAGCCCAACACCAAGGACATATGGGGCTGCAACAGTGGACCTTTCACTGTGCAAGAAGGTGACAATGGCGTCCATGCCGCCGTTGTCCCTCGTCTTTGCGCCGCGTTCGTCAGGTCTACACTTCTCTCAGATGGTGGTGATAACACACCAAAGCTGGGACAAGAGATGTACTACAAGAACGATCCTACGAGCCACTACAGTCGGATTGTGCATTCTTACGAGGTTGATGGAAAGGGTTATGCTTTCCCGTACGATGATGTTAACCCGGACGGGAATGAGAATGCTTCAGGCGTTGTTTCGGGTGAACCTGAGACTTTGACGATTTATGTTGGCGGACCTTCTGCTTAGGTGTTGAAGGAGACTTTCTTGTACTTTACCACATTTGAAGAGATTTTTGTTAGTGGTGAACAAACATATTCAATTACACGCTATGGTATTTACAATCTCATCCATCGTGCACTTCTATTCTACAATCTCGCGGCAGCATTGCCGCCAGAACAACAGCTCTTTCCGCCAAAAGCCAACTGACTAACCTTATCATGCTGATCAAGCGCACCCTTCTTCTCAGCAACCTGCGTAGGAGTAATAGAGTAGCTAGGTGGCACATCCATACAAGGGTTGTTGATGAAGAAGTTTCTAGGTCTCAAGAGAAGAGTCATGGGCTCGACAGGCATGATAGGGAAGTCCTCGGGTGCAGGGATGTGTGTAACACCGAATGTGTGCCACATCACAATATCTGTGTTCTCGGTGCTGGATGTTCCGTCGGCGATCCACTCGGGAAGACCTTGGGAGGGTTCGCCGGATGTCTGCGGGACGTGACGACCTGCGGCCCAGAGTTCATCGTCGCGGTCTGTGATATGTTAGTAAAAGTCTGACTGATGATGACTGGTGGTGAACTTACAAGGAGTGACGTGAACAGCATGTCTAGCAAAACCAGCACGCTTCCACACAAGTGATCCCTCCTTAGGCAACAAGCCAGGAACCTCTCGGCTGACAAGCTTATAAGAAGCTGGCTTCTTGGAATAAGGATGTAGCTTATTCTCATTAACCATCTCCCAAGTTCGACTTGTAGCTCCATTGTAATCAGTCTTGGCCTGTCCACTGGTCTTGAGCTTCGTCTTCTTGGCATAGAACGCATTGCCGTATTTGTTCTGCGGACTTCCAACCGGCGCCTCACTAGCCACGGTATCGACCATATTGACCGTGTTGTTCACACCGTCGATCATGGGGTTAACACGAAGGCAGAATAGATGCTGGTGGTTGTGCGCATTGACCTGGGGATAAACTTCAGTTCCCCAAGGACCGGCATCTTCACCCTCATTGAGGGCATATGTGTTGAGGATACCAGTGAGCTTGATCTCGGGTTGGATGGTACCATCTTGGTGGAAGACCCATTGGCAGGCGTATTCGTAGTTTGCTGCTGTGAAGATCTGTTGGACGATGAGCTTGCGGGCTCGTGTGACGGTGACCGAGTCATCGCGGAAGTCGGTGTGCTTGAATAGGATGCCGTTATCCTCCTCGTGGATGCAGATTGCGTTCTTGATGGTTCGAATGGAGCCGTCGCGTTGGGCGAAGTCGGCGTCAAGATAGTGGATTACACCCTTGCAGTCGCAGCCAAGAGCGAGGGAGTTGGCCATGTATCCTGCACCATATTCACCGAGATCGAAAGCGTGCTTGCGCTGGTGAGGATGCTCAGGTGCGCCATAAGGAACGACCATTTCAGACAGGGAAAGACGGTAGAAGATTGGTCTCTCGATGCCCTTATCTGTGAAAGTGATGTGGTTCAGGACAATACCCTCCTTGTAGTTGAAGCCAATATGGAACTTGAAGTTCTGCCATGACAGGACACGACCGTTCATGGTGAATGAAACGCCCTCGGGCTGAGTGATGTTGATAGGCTTGATATCCTTGCGATAACCACCATTCTCGTTGATGTAGCGAGGAATGTAGTCAATAGCCTTCTGCTTGCTCAATGGGCGACGGACGCTGGGAATATCGATGTGAATGATTTCTTTCTTGGCACCGTCGTAGATAGGGCAGAAGTCAAGAGGGTATTGGTACTGGAAGCAATCCGGGTCAGGGCGGTAGTACATGAGCGCCTGCTGAAGACGAATGTTGCTACCGAAACGCTCATCGTAACCAATGGTCCAAGGATCACAGTAGACTTTGTGCATATCCTCTTTAGGGATACCAGAGAGTTCGCACTGTTCGATGACCTTGGGATCCTTGCGCATGATGGCCTCGACCAGAATAAGTTCCTCAGGTGTGATCTAGCACTTATTAGCGAAGCGAATCAAGTATATCAAGAGTATAACTCACAATCGGTTGAAGACCATCCAGCTTCTCCCACTTCTGCACCTTTTTTGTTCTCAGATCGACAAGACCATCATAGACAGCGCCATCGGGAAGAATGACAGTGACATCCGCGATTCTAGCAGGTTTGTTTCCATCAGATGGGTGCTCAAGCCACTTGAGCATATCCGCCTTGCGCGGCTCGTGGAGAGTGACTGCATTGAAGAGGAGTTGTCCAGACTGATACTTGCGAATGACATCTACCGCCGCGGCGATCTCGTCGCCTGTGAGAGGATCAAAGGGGTGGTGTTGTGAGATGCCCATGATTGCTGTTACTGTGAGAAGTCTTGACTATAGAAGAAGAGAGAGAGACAGAGGAAGGGCATGATTTATATATAGTCCTAGGAGGGTAGGACAACATGCCTCGTCTTGGAAATAAACATTGTCGATACCGACTCTTTTTTCCGTATCGGGTTTGAATCTCTTGTGTCTGCGGGGAGATACTTGTCTACCTGTCTACTATCGCGAGCCTCAACGGAAAGATAAACCGGAATAGGGATAGTGAGTGTTGATAAGATAGAGTGGCGGATTTCCCCGCTTTCGAGAGACGGGTCTCGTGATCCATCTTGAGTGGAAGACTTGATTTTCGACTAAAAGGGTAATTTTAACCTGGCTATGATAACTGTATGATGATGATAAGATAGCAAGGGCAATTACTGTATCTGATAAGATTCAATGGATTATGACAAATCTCGTAATCAATACCATTTGAATGCTCAATTGACACATGAATTGCTGTGATGAGTTTGATCATTTTACTGTTCTAGACCACTGACATGTCCATCATGATGTGCCACCAGTCAATTGAGCTTCTTCTCTCTCGGAACCCATTCCGATGTTACGATGTCTTTTTGCAACCCTCATTAGTAAACAAACTTTACCCGATCCAGATCCTCCAGCAATGCCTCATCGCTCACAAAGTTTGGGCGAGAGAGTTATCATGTTCATAAAAAACCTGGTAGTTTTATTAGTAGAAGCTCGCAACCAATTCTGCATGAGTTCGAGGCGCTGTGTAACTTGAATCTGTGGCTGGGCCGTCTACACGTTGATTGGGCGCCGCTTTATCAACTACTTCCTCCAAAGCAATATTGCTATTGCCAGAAGTATTTCTCTGAATTAATTGATAATCGAGCGCTCTTGTCAATGTTTCATTAACAAGATTGGCGGGCTTTGCGACAAAGCAACACTAGTGTCACCAGTTGAAACCCAACCCTACAGTGGCGCTCTGGGTACTGAGGGGGTTCCAGTACAACACCGGGAATAACCCCCAGAAAATCTCATTGCATTTTCACCAGATCTCTCTACCATTTTGGATCATCTGCTTTGAACCTGCTTTTATCTCAATCCCATATCCCAAGCATCCGGTGATATTTCCGACGTTCACCGGCGCTACTTTCTCACAGACAAGGGCATCCTTCCCCAAATTGGAAGCTGCTGCTACACTGAAGTCGATAACAGCGGGCTTTACAGGGAATTGACTTCACCCCGCGTTCGCTAACATGACCGACCTTCGCCGTAGCATATCCGGGGAACCGCTATCATGGGTACAGAAAGAAAGCTTCAACGATTAGGTTATAACTGCAAAGATGTAGTATACGCATTTCTAACCCGATTGAATAATTCTGTCTGCCCCATTTGTCAGTTCGACCCTTTACTATCCTGGGGTTAAATCCACCTGAGCTCCTACCTTATGATAGCTTCGCGGGGTAACGATGGACACTTCAGTGGGGTGATCTGAGTTCAGGGTCGTGACGTTATAGCCGTAGAGAACTATATATTCTCCAGCCATTGGCGTCTCGTGAGGTCGGGTTAGTACAGGTAGCTTACTCGCCATCTAAAGGCCAAGAGTAGTCATCATGAGGTTCTTCGGCGGGGCTTTACCAGCCCTTGCTCTCTGCTGCACATCCGTGTTAGCTACACTTCCATCATCTTACGATGTTGTCTGGAACAAGCCTGGAGTTAACGGCTCGGCTGATTCTATGCCTCTCGGTGGTGGCGACATCGGTCTGAACACATGGTATGAGAATGGTGAGCTTTATCCAGATGGTCCATTCGTAACCCATTACTAACACTTCGACCACAGGCACAATTCTCATGTACGTCGCCAAGAGCGGTACTTTCGACGAGAACAACGCTCTTCTTAAGCTCGGTCGCGTCAGACTGTCATTTGACCCTAACCCCTTCGAAGATTCTTTCGAACAGAGACTTATCCTCAACGATGGTTACGTCAAGTACACTGGCAGAGACAATGCCACTGCAAAGATTTGGGTCGATGTCTTCAACCCTGTAGTGCACATCGAAGTTGACAGTGCCGAGGAAATTGCCGTTGGCGTCGCTTACGAGAACTGGAGGTTTAAGGACCTATCTATGGTCAGCGAAGAGCGCAATCAGGGTTCCTGGGGTATCTATACCTCAAAGGTCGCTAACGGCACCACTCACGCTGATAAGATCGATTTCCATGAGAATGGCGTCCTGATGAGCCACCGAAATGAGAAGCTTGATCTGTGGGACTTCCAGATCAAGCAACAGAAGTTGGAGAAATATGCTGACGAGATGTACAATCCCATGCGCGGGAACGAATTTGGTATCTTTGTTCACTCTGAACAACTCAAGCCTGGAGATATCACAGATGGTCATTACATCAACACAACTTACAAAGCCTGGAATCTCGAAGCTAAGGCGCCCAGAAAGTCGTTCAAGATCGCACTGTCTATGTACCAAGCTCAGACCAAGAGTCATGATGAGTGGTACAACGGCCTCAAGAATGTCATCAAGTCAGCCGTCAAAAATACCCAGGAAGCAACTCTTACCTGGTGGCACGAGTATTGGGCCCGCTCTTACATCATCATAAACGAAGACAAGGGCGAAAAGGACGCAGGTTTTCAAGTGGGCAAAAACTATCAACTGTGGCGCTTCCTCATGGGCTGTAACGCCAAATCTTCCTGGCCAACTAAATTCAACGGTGGTCTCTGGACTTTTGACCCCGTCTTTGTTAACCCATACCGACCATACACACCAGACCATCGACGCTGGGGCGGCGGTACATTCACCGCTCAAAACCAACGTTTGTTGTACTGGCCGCTGCTAAGGTCGGGAGACTTTGATGTCATGACACAGCAATTTGACTTTTATAAGCGCATCACTCCGAACGCTGTTTTGAGAGGGCAAGTCTATCAGGAGCTTGATGCTGCGTTCTTTTTGGAGCAGATCGACAACACCGGTTTGTCGAATGTGTTTGAGTATGATGCTCAGTGGTATGACGATGATGCGAATACGCCACGACCGGATTTCTTTCCCGATGGTGAATTGTGGAACGTTTGGTTGAATCATATGCAGGATACTGCCAAGTAAGTGATCTTTTGGCGTTTGTGGAACGTGACTAATCGTTGTAGTGAATTTGCCGACATGATCCTCCAGGCAAACATCTATTCAGGCTACGACGTCAAGCCATATCTTGAATTTATAGAGTACCAGCTCGCCTGGTTTGACAAGTACTATACCAGAGAAATGCTCAAGCGCAACCCCTGGCCATTGACTGGCATGGCTGGTAATGAATCTCTAGTCATCTATCCTGGCTCAGCAGCGGAAACTTACAAAGAGGCGTACAACCCTGTCTCCACCCTCGCTGGTCTTCGCCAAGTTATCAAGGATCTCCTCATCGTGGATGAATTTGCCCTTCAAAACAAAACTTACTACCAGAAATACCTCGATAAGATCCCCGCCAACACATTCCGTGAACAAAATGGCCACACCTGCATCGCCCCGGCCGAAGCCTACACCCGCGTTCAAAACAGCGAAGTCCCCCAACTCTACCTTGTTTTTCCCTGGACCGAATACGGTCTCGGTCTACCCAATCTTACCATCGCCAAAAACACTTATCTATACGACACCGAAACGGTCATCTATCATGGCAACAACGGGTGGAAGCAAGATGTCATCTGGCTCGCGCGTATGGGTTTCACAGCCAACGCAACAGCCATGACCGAAGAGCGGTACGCGCCTAGCAAGGTGTGCAAGTTCCCAATCTTCAAGGGTCCCAACTTTGACTGGACGCCCGATCTGAATCATTACGGGGCTGCGGCTATTGGCTTGCAGGAACAGCTTGTGCAGACCTTTGTGGACGATGATATCAGGTTGCTTGCTGCCTGGCCGGAGAGCTGGGATGTTAGATTCAAGGTGTGGGCACCGAAGAATACTACCGTTGAGGGAATGGTGAAGGGGGGTAAGGTAGAGGAGCTTGTGATTCTGCCTAAATCTCGTAAGGGAGATGTGATTGTTGGACAAGGGTAGAGATAACGGCTAGCAATAGTACAATGTGAAGGGACGCCGTTCTTTGAAGTAACTTTAAACTACAAAGGAAGAATTGAAGGTCAGTCTTTTCAATGCTTACCGCTTGATTAAGTGAAGCCATGCCTCATTTTTGCACCTCACCGTATTTCTGCCTGCCTGTTGTTGCAGAGCGAGTTCTTGGACTATGCCCATGGACAAAGGGGTATTGCTGTCATATCGCAGGGTTAAGGGTTTCAAGTCAATCACAGTGAAGAAATATGTCTCTATGAACAAAGAAAAGGAATTATTGAATCCCTGCTAGGATGAGCTTCACTTTGAATATGACCTGTCACAGAAGGCTGCAATTTTCTTTGAGTCTTATATCAACGCATTCAACGCCACAGGTGTTGTGGCTCTATTCCATTGATAGGGCCCCTGCAAAGCCATTCATATAGCTCTCCCATGGATCTTTATGGTCAAGAATTGAATAAAGGTCTTCATACTCTTGTTATTTACGAGATTAACTTGCTCATACTCCTACCCTCAACCCTGGTTCAACTCGCATTATTAACTCATTTCTCCTTTGGTAATTAACCTACCTATCCAGCTTTCGTCCATTAACCTATCAAGCTTTGATCATTGGTCCATTCGTACTTCCATCATGAACTTCTCTCCGCTTCAACACTTGGGACATTCCCATCTTTACCATCATCCCATTCCTACTAGCCCATCTTTTACCCATATTGCCGCAGTCGAGACAAAAGGATATACTCTTATCTGTACGCTGATCTGGAACAGTATGGACTTCACAATGTCGGAGTCTCCCAATTCCCCTGATGAAAATGAATCACTCATCCAGCTTTATCAATCTTGCCAACTTCTTGCACAGGGTGCAGGATGTCTTCCTCGAGACCATTGCCTGAAGCCGAAATTTGAAGAGTTGATGGGCGACCTCGAGGCAGAGATCCTTAAGATGAAGAAAGGTTCAGCGGGATCTAGACAGACTCTGACTGGCTCTACGTCTATCGATACTACTACTTCTATTCCGAAGGACTCTTCATCTCCATCACCAAATATCGCGCGACCAAAGCCGGAAAGAAGACCAACACCCGAATTCTTCCCCAAATTTAGAAACGGCCCACCACTCACAGGATTCACGCCCCAAAAAGACTTCGAGATGCAGAATCCTGGTGGCAGGAATCCGAGTCATCCTTGCAGTCTTCACGGTCTTCCTAGCCGTATCGAAAAAAGGCGCAAGCCAGTGCTGACCCCGGGCCAAAAAGCTTGGAAGAGAATTCTAAAAAGAATGAAGTGATATGTTCTTGCCATGGTGCCCTACGAGACAGGCTTAGGAAAAGCCACATCTGAGCGGACGGGGCAGGAAACGAAATGGACCGCATGAAAGGCCTTTACATAACGATATGGGAACCCGGAATTAGATGAATGCTGGGATGGGATGATAGGAAACTCGCGTACTGGGTGCCATTTCACATAGACTTGTTTCTACTGTGACTTGAATGAATTATTTCACTTTTCCCTTGATTGAACGTAGCTGTGTTGACCTGCTCGTGTTGTGCTTAACTGCGCTGGTAATATAGGTCATCTTCTTAAAGCTGCTAACGAAAAACGGAATACTGTTATCTCCTTGAGGTCCTGGCTGTAGACTACCTGTACCTCCATTTGCAAAAGTATTCGAGGTTATTTATATCTCAAGACTATCACTTGTTATTGAAGTAAGTATGCAAGTAACAGACAGCTGGGGCCTTGTTTGCCTATGAAGCTTATCCTACCTATGGTGATTGTGTTGCCAAATTAAAGTAAGATCTCAACATTCAACCTTGAAATTCAGTTTCAGACAGGTTACCACGGGCTCCTGTAGTGATAGGAGTAGTGATTTATGAATACCTACCCGCTAGATACAAATATAAGCTTCCTCTTGAACTTCTTCGTCCCAAGATATCCTCCCTTCTAACCCTCTAGCCGTCCGTAACATCGAGGTTGTTGTCCGCATCAGCGGGGCAATTCTCGTCATCATCAGTGTTAAACTCAACAACACAAGCACTGTCCTGGGCAATAGCAATGCCGATGAAGGTGGTGTCGGTCTTTCCTTCACCCGTTCCAAGACTGTTGCCGTCCTTGTCCTTGACCTCGCAGAAGCCGGGGGCGCCGCTGAATTCGGACTTGCACTTGAACTTGCGGACTGACTTCCAGCATGGGTCGTTTCCAAGAGTGAACTCTCGGCCGTCGTCGACGTTGTAGCAGGGAGCGTGGTCACCAGGGTAGCCCTGGCTGTAGATGGCAGTGCCGTCGTCTTTGAGAATGGTGAAGCCGTGGCTGTGGCCGCTTTGGCTACCGCCACTTGGGCCAGAGATGGTTGAAAAGTCACCCGAGGACCAGACAGCGCGGAGATGCTCGGCCACTGCCGTGGTGGAGAGAGAGGCCGCGACAAGGCCGAAGAGCATGTTGCGAGGAGAAGGCATCTTGGAAGTGGTGTTAATGGATATCCGATATAGAGTTGTAGATTGAGTGTCTGTGGTGGATTTGGTTATTTGTAAGGTGAAGGTTGCTGATGATGATTATTTTCTGACGGTATTGCTCGGGGCTTTTATACTTCCCTTGGTACAATATCAACTTCTCTCCGATCAACAATGCTTCCTAGCCTCGACCTTTGGTATCACGATTATGATGTCACCGTGGTAGTAGTCAATGCTTCAACTGAATCCTTCACAAACGAACACTAGGTTCTAACCACTTGCCACGCGGCCTTCAAAAACCTTAGCCCACTAAAACTCCAAGTATGTAACTTATATGCTATCCTACAAACCCTGCTTTTTTATACAGCAATTTTGAAGCTCCCAAGATAGATATCAAGGAGACAAAATCGCTATAAGTTAGATTAAACCATTTCATTTCTATCTACACAGAAAGATCTAATATTTCTATAATAATATAACTTTAGTTATTACCTTGAAGCAGGAGCCTCCATAGTGTGGTATGTTTTTACGACCGCGTGCCTGCCCACCTGCTCCCAGGAGCTTGACGCACAGCTGATCTCTGGCGGCCCGCCCATCGCCTTGCATCTGCCAAGGTCGATAGGGCCGTCTGTAGAAGGATTCCAAGATTACCTGTGTAACGTCGTTTTTAAAGCGGAGTAGTAGTGTGAGACTGTAAAATACCCCGGGTTTGTTGCGTGGAATTGAGATGTTTATCAAAACGAATGGACGACTTGTTATTGGTTCACAAGTTCAGTCTGGGGGACACCAGTACGATAGTCTCTGTATCCTGACTCAAGGACGGCAGACCTCCTTCTGAAAATGGTATAGTTTTAGCGAAAGGATTTTAGTGCTTATTACCATCGACATCCAGAGGCTCTTAACTATCTATTTCATCCAATCATAGTCAAACCTAAGCGAAAACAAGTATTATTGTAAACGATATAATTCTGATATTGTTAAGTTCTCTAGATGACAGAATGCAGTGTGAACGTTATAAAGGAAATATTGCTAATAAATCAAGATGAAACCCACAATTGCTGTAATTATTATGCCTTTACCCAGTTTTAGATGCATGTTAACAAGATTACAGCGCGTTATGACACCGACAAACGTGATACCACGAGCAATTGATCGGCGCAAATTAGTGAACCATGTTTGCATGACGTCTCGAATCCTTTTGGAGAATTAGCTCATATTGACCGCGGCAGTTCAAAAATGACAAGGATACAATGTGGAGAATATTAAACCGCTCGTCAAACAACTTGGGGTTAAGGGGACATTTGGAGGGAGGCTATGCCATATAGAACTCAGGGGAAGGTTTGATAGTTCGTCATCCAACCGTCTGCCTATGCTCTTGATTCTCAAGCTTGAAGTTTTTACAAACAGGGACTTAGGTCTTTAAAGCAGATCGAGATCAGACAAGAGAACTATGAATTCCACGTTTGATAGTAGAAAGCACGCCAAGAGAAGTAGCTCCATGGTACGTAAAAGTAATATATACTCTAATATTTAGACTTAGTCCTTTGTTCGGGAACTACCTTGACCGCAACTCCTGTACGAGGGAAGCCCCTAGAATCGTCAAAGCCCTCCTCGATCAAATAGCATCGGGTCTCGTTGGCGTCATACTGTGCAATGGTGCAGGTTTCAGCCATGCTGCATTCTTTGATACACGCTGCAAATCTAGTGTGTTCGATCCGAGCCAAGTCGTCGAACGCCTCCCAGTACCTAGTACAATCGAGCCTGAACTCAACACCATTGGCCACTGTGTAAGGGCTGCTTGTCTAGCCGCAGGTAAGCGTAGGGGCTTCCGGCATCGTAGCAGTAGAGGTAGTGGTAGTGGTAGCGGAGGTCGTGGGCTCCATATCCGTCGTAGCCGTAGTGGAGGCCGCATCGAGGCTTGTTATGGTCTGGGCTATAGTTGTTGAGTCGGCAGTGGCACTTGAATGGTCGCTCATCTCGGGTGAAAGTGTAGGGGCAGAGATGGTCTCAAAGGAACTCCAAAAGGAGCTAGCCGCATTGGGGGCAGACTCGTTTTCGATAGACGTTGGTGTACTTATCTCAAGGCTGAATGACAGAAGAGTGGTCGATGCGTTTGGATGACATGGGCCAGCTTGCACGCCGACAAAGGCAAGCCAAGCATACGCGAGAAGGTTGACAGGAGCCATGATGAAGTAATACACGAGACGGGACGCTGCCTTGGCGTTTTGTGGTCGAGACAGCATCCAAAGCCGACACCCTAGACCCTCGCTGTAGGACTCTGTTCTGCTATGCTGCCAGGCCTCTTCTATGGGGGACTTGCGGGTGTAAGACTGCAATTTACGCCGATTCAAGGACGGTCAGTGGCTGATTTACGGATGCATTTATCACTTTTCTGTCCTTTTTGTATCTTCAGTTTTCTAACTGTTATCGTCGCGTACTGACTTGTGCCAAAATCCCTCTTGACTGAGTTTATGCAGGTATAGAAAGCTATTTACTGGAATCTTCCGCGATTGCAAGCTTGCACGGTCGAGCCCTGCATTCCTGGGATGCTACGACCACTTGGAGCAATGACAGTCATGTCGTTGTTACCACGTCCTCCTCCGTTGGCCCACAAATACGTGAATGGAATGGCATCACCCTTGTTGAGGTTGATCTCATATGAACCGCTCTTCCAAAGCGTCGGGTCTGATCCAGTACGTCTTCCCTCAATAGCCCAAGCTCCTTGATTCCAGGTATATGCAGCATCGTTCACCCATAGATAACCCCAGTTATCGATTGTTTCAGCTATACTGAACTTGTACTTTCCAGTTTCCTTTGCATAAAAGTATGCATTATAGAGAAGAGCGGCCGGACCCGAGTCGAACGAGTCACCATTTGACAACGTGAAAGTGCCACGAGACGCAAAGGTAAAGGTGGTCGTATAGCCGGAGAATAAGGGAGTTTGTGATTTAAACCAGGTAGTAGTAAATCCGTTGTTGAAGACATATGCATTGAATGTACTCGAGTACCTGCGATATGCCATATTGTTATTGTATGCAAAGGTGGTCTCGACAATCCAAGCTGTTGATGTTACAGTTCTTTTCTCTGTAACAGTAGAAGTAGAAGTGCTGACTGATGTCGTTGTGATTATCTCGTTACTTTGCAATAGTTAGTATTGTCCTTGGCCAGGATTATACGGGCGTAGACTAAAACAACGGCAAAATACATACTAAGTCTCAATAGGCGTAACTACATCTGTAGAAGCTACGACCATCGTTGCAGGCTCCGACGTCTGAAAGATTGTGGTTGTAGTACTAGGTGCTTCAAGCGACAAACATTCGCAAGCAAGAGAGGTCTCGGCTTCTGTCCACTCATTAGGAAATGCAACAGGCACCACTTCCAGACTCTCTCCCCTTTCTCCTAGTGCACCACGAGCTGGCTCGAACGTCGGCACCGGGGGAGTGTAAGTGTAAGCACTGTCAAGACAGGAAATTGTATCAATTGAGCGCGTCGAAGTGACAGTAGTAGTGTCCCACTATAAGAAAGTTAGCATTGTGTAAGTGCATAGGAGCTCTTGGTCTAACTTCAGTCTTAGTCTCTTTGGCGGTTTCAATTGCCGTTACGCCCTCATATGCTGTTTTGATCTTTGTAACAGCGTCAGCCGTGACAGTGATGAGCTCGTAATCGAATACGCTGGACGGCTGTAGTGTTTCGTATTCGGTTCTGACAAGAGGTCTGATTAGCAGAAGATCAACCCTACGCCGATTACACAAGAGACGTACACGGTATGCGTGGCAATAGATAAATATTGGACACAAAACGGGATTGCATCTCGATCATCTTCAAGTTCTGATATCACAGTCGTGCTACGAGCGCAGAACGCAGCGGTAGTTGTTTCGGAAGTGATGGATGTTGTTTCGGCGGCTGTGCTGGTGAGTAACGATGCGGTATCCTCAACGCTCGTCTCGGATGTGGGTGCTTCGATAGCACCCTTGACTGTAGTTTCGATCGGTATGGCATCGGTAGCAGTCGTCTCGAGCGTGGTAGAGCCCAAACTTGACACATGACTGTCGACAGATTCTAGGCTGCTAGCCACTATAGTAGGGGTGGTGATGTCCGTAGTAGGGATATCTTGTTAAATACAGTTAGTTTGAGTGACAACGGTTATGCCACGGCAAGGCCAGACAAACCTCGAGATGTAGCAGTATCAATGGCCAGTGTAGACTTTGAAGTTACCTCCTGACTATCGAAACCCTCTGAAGTTGCGCTGTCGCCTGGGTTCGACGTCTCACTGGAAGAAGTCGAAAATGAAAGAGTAATTTCGGAAGGTGAAAGAGAAGATGGTTTGCCAGTCAAGGGTTTGCATGGCCCAGCGTATGCAGTGGTAACCGCGACGGCAGCGAGAAAAAGGTTTGGAAAAAGCATGAGTAGCAGCAAACGACGAACTTTTAGCGCATCCACAGCGACAAGCGATAGGAAAGCGGGAACGAGGATTATTTATATTCATTATTGATCGACGAAGCAAACAAACCCAAGGCCACTTACTCCTACGAGGTTCACCTATTTCGAGTTGACCAGTTTTGTTTTTGTCGTTTTTTCTAGTCCTGTTGAGCTGAAATGAGTGAACTATTGCCAATAGCGTAGTGTTAGCTAATGGACCTGCATTTTTAGCGAGATTAGTGGCCATTTTGCTTGAGATCCTCGAATCTAGAAGGGACTAATTCATGGTGAGCCCTGGCTAAGAATCGATAGTTTGGACGCCTTTGCCGAAGCGGCTGGAAGACCTTACATTAGATCAGTGCCAAACGGCCTTTGCTCAAGTGATTCACAATTGAGAGAGAGGATGACGCGATGATGTGAACACAATCTTCGATGTTATTAATATGTAGAATTTTTCGCTCAGTTTGACGTTCCGTACCAACTCCAGACTCTATATTTCGCACAATTATAAACAAAGGATTGCTCTGATCGGTCGAACTGTTACAAATCTCAAATGCAGCACACTCGTCCAATCTCTAAAATGAACTATGAAACAAGATAGAATAATATCAATCGCACCCTCACGCCTGTCGCGTCTCGAGGTTCTCGCCGTTCTGTCCAGGCTGGAGTCCTGCTATACTAGCAGCCACAATACCAGGCATACCAACAACTGACATCATAGGTGAGATAGGTGGTCTGTTAGATGACCTAGATGATCCACGGCTGCGCATCTTGCTTCGGGGTCGAGAATCAGAGCGCTTGCGACGGAGCTTCTCGCGCATCTTCTCACGGGAATGCTCCATTTTGTCGCTGAGAACAGTCATGCGTCCACCACGAACACGCTTCAGGAACTCAAGATCGTCACGAATGCCAAGCAGCGCGGTATCCATGTCGTAACCCTCCAGTTGCTTATCGGAAGATTCTTCGTCGTCGTCGTTCTTCTTGCGGGACAGGAGCCAGCTTGGCCAGAGCTTAGCGAAGACTGCGACAATGGAGGCGAACCAGGCGTCAGGGAAAAGACGGATGAGTACACCAACGGGAATAGACAGGAATCCGAGGGCAAGAGAGATTCCCCATTGTACACCGTTGAGACGGGTCACCACGAAGGCGGCGCCGCCAAAGAAGATAATGATGACTTGGCCGGCTGCCATGATTGTCATCATCAGCATGAAGAGACTGTTGCGGTGGAGACCCTCGAAGATGTTGAGCTTATTGTCGATACGTCTAGAGTTAACAAGCTTGAAGATCTGCATAAAGACGAAGATGTTGAAGATCAGAGATCGGACTTCAGTCTCGTCGTATCCAAGAATAGGATCGCGACCGAACCAAAGGACGAAACAGACAATAAGCTGGTAGATGGATTGACCGATGATCATCTTCCACATAGTAATGGTGATCAAGGGCGCAGTACGCGATTCAGGCTCGCGGTGCAAAAGACTTCCGGTAGGAGGGTCTGTAGCGAGAGCAAGAGCGGCAAAGGTATCCATGATGAGGTTGACCCAGAGAAGTTGGACGGCGTTAAGAATGGACTTCTGCTCATCATCTGAAACGGCGGACACAAAGGTGACACCAACAGCAGTAATGTTGACAGTGAGTTGGAACTGGAGGAACTTCTTGACGGAGTCGTTAATTGCGCGACCCCAACCAAGTGCGACGACGATGGAAGAGAAGTTGTCATCCATGAGAATAATGTCAGAAGCTTCCTTGGCGACTTCCGTTCCTGTGATACCCATTGAGAAACCGACGTCAGCAGCCTTGAGAGCAGGAGCGTCGTTGGTACCATCACCTGTGACAGCGACGATCTCGCCTAGTGCACGCAAGGCCTTGACGAGGACACGCTTGTCTTCAGGGCTGGAGCGAGCAAGGACACGGAGCTTCCTTACCACGTTTGAGCGTTCAGATTCAGTAAGCTTGCGGAAATCGGAACCTTGCATGACGGCGTTGGGTTCGACCATGTTGGCTTCAGTGAGGATACCACAGTTGAGAGCGATTGCGCGGGCGGTTTCGACGTTGTCACCTGTAACCATCTTGACGTTGACGGAAGCGATACCGCAGTCAGAGACGGCCTCGGGGACACCCTTGCGGACAGGGTCTTGGATACCCACGACACCCATCCAGGTGAGGTTGTGCACGAGGTCGGTAAGGTCGATTTCAGTGTTCGCTTCATCCTCGGGGCGGAGGGTAAGGACAGGAGGCCAAGACTCAAAGTCGCGGTATGCAAGACCGATGGTTCGCAGGGAGTTGGTGGCGTAACCAGTGATAAGGGATCGAAGACCCTCCTTGTGGTTGTCCGACAGCGATTCGGTAGAGGTACCTTGGGTAGGGTCGCCGAGAATGGCAGTACATTCGCCAAGAACAATTTCGGAAGCACCCTTGATAAACAGACGATGCTTAGGCTTATCCTTCGTTGGGCCGGGGATTTGGACAACGGCACCCATGCACTTGCGCTGGGAGTTGAAGGGGAACATCTGCGAGATGGGATGGTTGGAGCGTTCAATTGCCAGAGGGCCAAGACCGAGGTAGCGACGAGCCCAGTCGAGAAGAGCGGTTTCGGTCTTGGTGCCGACAAAGGTGCCATCGTCCTCGAAGGCGGTTGTGTTTACGGTGACGGCAGTCTTGAGAAGGTCCTTGTACTCAGGGTCGAGCTTCTCTGAGAAAGTGTTGAGGGGGAGCGTATCATTCTTCTCGGTAGGTGTTGAAGGTGTTGACTCAGACTGGTCAAGAGAAGAATCGCCAAAGGAGAAACGTCCTCGAAGACCCAAAGAGCCAGCGACAACGGTCATGACATTCTCCGTAAGAGTACCGGTCTTGTCGGAACAAATAACCGTAGCGTTACCCATAACCTCACAAGACTGGAGATGTCGGACCAAGTTATTCTCGCGTGTCATCTTCTTTGTCGCGAAGGCAAGAGACAGGGTAACGGCTAGAGGAAGACCTTCTGGAACGGCGACGACGATAACGGTGATGGCTGTGATCAGGATCTGGAGAAAAGCTTGGCCCTTCTGTTCACCTGTGTCGGTGCTGTTGCGGAGGCCAACGAGGAACATGATGAACAGGACGAGGAAGAGAAGACCACCAGCCAGGGAACCGAGCTTGGCGATATAGCCTGTGGTTGTTAGCATAGTACTTGGAGAGGTGGTGATGGTACTTACCGGCGAGGAGGTTGAGCTTGGCTTGGAGAGGTGTCAGGCCGGGATCATCACGGAGAGACATCATTGTCTTTCCATAACTAGATTGCTCTCCAACGGCTGTGACGAGGAACGTTCCGACACCATCGAGAACCTTTGCTCCGGAGATGATGAAAGGATCAAGCTTCTTTAGCTGCGGCGTAGGCTCGTTCAACAAAGCGTGAAGAACCTGATCAGCGCCAACCTTCTTGATGAGGTCCGACTCTCCAGTAGCAGAACTCTCATCACAGCTGAGATTGTGGCCTGAGATGAAGACACCATCAACAGGAATGACATCACCAGGCTCGAGAAGCATAACATCACCCACAAGAACATCGTGGATGGAGATGTTCTGGGGCTTTCCGGCGCGTGTAATCTTGACAATACGATCCTCCTTCTTCTGGTTCAGCTTTTGGAACTGTCGCTCCTTCTGCCAGTCATTCGCTGCGCCGACGACGACGACGATGGTGATGGCAACGATGATAGCCACACCTTCAACCCATTCGACCTTGGCACCTTCGTGGTGTGTCGCGCCGAATGTTTGGTAAAGGCCTAGGGCTAGGGATACAACTGCTGCGACGCAGAGGAGGATAAGGACGTGATCTTGAAGGGCGATCCAGGCGAGTTGAAAGAAGGATTTGGCTTTCGGTTCGGGAAGACGGTTGGAGCCGTAGACTCGTTTGCGATCGGGAAAGGCGTCTTTGGCAACATGGCCATCATCGTCAACCTCGGTCGTTGGTAGTACGTTGTCTGTCGGTGAAGCCTTGAAGCCCTCTTTCGTGGCAGTAGCTTCCTCAAAAGAAACATGATCTCTCAGCTTTCCTTCATCGGGGCTCAATCCGGCCTTTGCGTCCGTCCTCAAACCCTTCTCAAGACCAGGCAATCCTCCAAGCGCGACAAACGCGGCCAGATTCTTAGGATTGATGAGTTTGGAAAGTTGTCCAGGCGAAAAGGCGAAAGGGTTGTTCTCAACGTTGAACTGCGCTTCCTCACCCGGGTCTGCCTTGAGGATCTCCTGCTGGTCGCCTTTTCGAAGAGCTTCGACTTCGCGATGCATTTGTTCATGGTCGGTGCCGACTTTTGTAGATGGTGAAGTTGAAGCCCATGATCCAGCGCGTGATTTATTCGTTGGGACTGCGAGTGTGTTTGTGTCGTCTAACGGCGATGGAGAGGCGTGGATGGATTCTGTTGTTCCTGATGGCTGTTAGTAAACGGTGTTCCAGCGGTGATGTTTTAGGCGGTAAGGTGCTGGAAATTAGGGCGGATCGCACTGGAGCTTTACCGGGTTCGTTTGTGTCAACAGCAGCAGTGTCGACTGTGATTGTTGGAGCCCTTGGGCGTCTTGCCGCGGGATCTGAGTCCATCTTGGAAACTCTTTCAGAAAATTACTTTTCCAATATCGAATTGATGATGAGAGAAGAGAGAGAAAGAAGGGGAGAAAAGCCAAGATTATCTAGGTACCCTTGTTCCGCGTGAAAATACACTTTGTCTACACAGCCACAGCCACGAGGTCCGCCAAGACGCCTAGCAGTGATGTGATTGGGTGGAAGATGGGCAGAGGGAAATGGTGCAAAACGAGCTAGACCTTGGCGGTTACTATACGAACAGGGGACTCAGAGTCCTTGAATCTCTGGCCAAGTATCCGTAGTAAGTGCTTACCTCAGGGTACAGTATCCTGCGTTTTGCAATGGAACCAACTCTTGACGTAATACAAGACTCGAGATGACAATTGTACGGAAGTACTGAGACTGAGGAGGTGTGCTGCTCTTTATCAGACAGGCTTTATGCCAAGGCTTTCCCTAACCGCCCATGTCCCAAATCACAAAAACAAGAGACACCCAACCAATCTTAATCTCCATCTCTACGGAAACCCCACAGCTACCACTCCACTAAAGCGACTCCATTCCGTCATCCACCAAGCCTCGTTTTTTAAGCTTAATGCTGTTCATCCACGCTAGATCTTCCTCTTCACAACAATCCCCCTGTGTCTACGTTGGCCCGAAAAAGGGGGCGCAATGGAGGCGATTATCCTGCGGACCATATTTTAAAGTTGACAGAGGGAAATGCTCTCAGCCTGTGACAGACTCCTTGTGACATGACAATTCCCTCTGCCTCTGCCGTGTTTTTTACTGCTCGCATAGCCCCTTTGTCGATCGGCCCACACGCTGACTTTTTGGACCAGTAGAAGCGTGAGTGGATGTGTGCAAACAGGATTGGTTCGCTACCGAGTGAAGCCATTACAACTCATCACCAGATCTTTGCGTGAGGGTGTGCTGTACATTCAATGTCACGATGCGAAAAAAAACAAGTCATTGAGTAGCAATTGATCGTCAGAGACTTGAGAGTGTCCAGATCGTGAAACTGGTTAGAGACTGTCGCATCGGGTGCGTCCCGTTAGATCTTGGCATCACGGCTCTCAAAGCTTGGCCATTTCAGCACTTCTTTCATTTCAGGCATCCCGATGCCAAGACCAAGAGCCCAATAATCCCATCCAGGCTGTGCTGCGAAATAACAAATCACAATCCGACTATAACATTCATTGATGGTCATAGCTCAAATTAATTAGATTCCATAGACATGCGACAAGCATAATTTCTTCCAGTCCTGCCGCATCGTATCGTAATTGAATGCCGACCCCGGATAAGCTTAATTTTGGCTGCATAACTGGTGTGGTACGGTTTATTTGCCTGAGGTCGGTCGGTCGGTGTTGTTTTCCTTGCTTGGCATTCATGACGTCAGTGAGGACTTTTTGGTAGACCGGCGGTGCTCCGTACGGTATAGTCAGTCCGAAGCCGAGGGGGTTTTAATGGGACAAGTTGAGACTTTGCTCTATCGAGAAGGAGAACAGATTGGAATTTGGGGATAGAAGAGAGTTTGGGGCAGTGTTGAGGCAGTGTTGCGTGGTTTGTTGAGACGGGCGCGGAGAAGATTAGATAATTCATGCGATATTAACTTGTGGCGATAGCTTCAACCGAGGAAGCCCATGGCTTCGTCCGGATATCAGAAGAATTGACTGCCGAGAGTAAGAGACGAAATAATTTGGTCATCCTGTGCTAGTCTAGGGTGGCACTCCGGATCCATTATTTTGACGACCTAGGAGGACCATTTGTCGGTGGGCCTCCGTAAAGGTAAAGCTGTACCTCGTCTCCGGGTTGTCTGGCAACAGAAGAGGCTCATTTGACGCGTCGCAGTATGGCTGGACGACGCGACGCTCTTTTCTTTGTCATCGGCACGGACGGGAGTAGAGCATTGGCGATTGGATAAAGTTCAGGATAGCAAATTGAATGAGGTATGCATAGCCCGTTTGCTGGGACATGATTGTGACCTTTGTCGGGGTTAATCTTGGGCGTTGACTGGCTGTTGAGCGTGATATTGTTATTTTTTTCTCCATCAAAAGTGCCATGTAAGATACCTTTTCCCCATATGAACGTCGGTCTAGTATTACACGCTCTCGTTATTTTGTAAATCCAGGACTGAAATGATGGTAAAGATTGATGTAGAATTGCTGCCAAAGCTACCCTGTAGGTGTCGCCACGGCAATTCCACTCGAACCCCTTTCCAATGACTCAACAATCATGGACGTGCCCATGTTGATTCCCGTTACGACAGCCCAGATGCGTATTCGCCTTCATGCCTGTTCATCGGGTGACCCGAGTTCCGGTTACACGTATGAATCGTGATAACCTCGATGTAATGCGCCACTGCACAGACGCCACACTTTAGTTAGTGTGGCGCAGTAAAAGAGGCCTCTTGCGCTCTGAACTTAGCTTTTTTGATGGAAACTCTTCGTAATTATTGCCTCCACTATGTACGAGATTCAGAAAACCTTGAAAAACCTGTCGTGATGATGGAGTATTTGGGGCTTATAGGTAACGTGTCCAGGCAGTGTATAGTCATCATGCTGAGCTGAGATTTTACTAGTCATCCGGATGGGTATCATGAGGGATCCGCCGAATACAATGAGGCTTAGAGAGTGTAACAGCAAGTCAGCCTAGTCCTATGATAGTCTTTAGTTGTTTGTCAACAATCTGTTTCCAAGGGTACACCAGAGGTGAGGACAATAAGTCATCAAGCCAAGGGAGGCTGTAACTGATCCACAACGTCATGTAAGAAAGCCTAGACATGGAGGAAGTTGCGGCCAAGTCTAGATCTGAGCCAAGGCATGTCTGACTGCGTTCAGACTTTTCGACTGTGGCGAAGGAGAAGCAGGACGCGTGGAATAAGCAAAGTCTCAGGCACGTACGGGTCAAGTGTTGAATGCAGTGTTTTCCAGGTCAAGATGATATGAGTTGATGAGGTGGGCTCTCAGAGCTGAGGAAAGAAGCAGTGTGGGAGTTTCGCCTGAATCGCGAAGACGTTCAAGCTCGTTATGGCAGCAGAGTTGTCTTCCAGTGCGACATTACATGTTCATGAGAATTTGAAGCACCGCTGACTCGGATTCACTAGGTGACTAAAGTATTTTGGAAGATTATAAGATACCAAGACAGTTCCTCTCGCGCTTCTGATATTCTGAAGTCAACATGTTCGCAGTCTTGCTGAGTCACCCCGCTCTGCACTATAGTCTGGTCGTGTAATGACCCATGTGCAGTAGCAGTCCGGGTCTCTCACCATGAATGAAGCATCAGAAAAGATCACTTTGCTATACCTGTCGCGTTTCAATCAACTGGAAGCAATGATTGGAGATTCAACGCCGTGTTCGACTGTATGATGATCATGAGCCTTCGCAGTTCGCAGCTTGACAGGCACTTCCACAGGTTCATCAGAAAAGATAACTGTCAAATGACAGTTCGTGTAAGTAAAAGTGTTGTTTTATTAAGTACGCATTGCAGGCATCTTTATCACCAGATGTGCCAGAGCAAACCCCGAGTAGTGGCACTTCCACTTCAACCCCACTGAAATCATACTACAGCCTACTACGAGAAGATAACCACCCGTGATCATTGTAATTTAAAACATGCTCTCAACCGTTCTTCCCATTCATGATCATGACATTGATAGGCGGGAGGGCTCCGGCTGATGACTAATTACTCAAGTGTGGCGTAGGTGGCTGCATCGTGGCGCACTCCAGAACACCCAGCTTCGATCGACCGTAGCTCACGCTACAGATGTCGCATCCAGTCAAAAGTAGTCAGAATGGTATCCTCCCGATCTCAGGATCATTCTAATGATGGTAAAAAGGTGAAAAAAGAAACGCCCGAGACGGGACTCGAACCCGTAACTTTCAGATTCACTTGTTCGTAAAAGTCTGACACGCTAACCAATTGCGTCACCCGGGCTGGAGGGCGTTTTTTATTGTTGACAGGGTGTTGAATATTTCAGTATATGTAGACTACAGTGCTTGGAGGCTCCAAACTTGTCGTTGGATCGCCCTTTGGGGCTGCTTACAATGATTCTGCTGACTTTTGTTCATCTCGGACTGGGAGAGAGCTTTCCATTGAGGGATCACAGAATGACCCTACCAGGTACGTTCCATTGATACTTGTTGGTAGAGCGATATAGACTCATCATGCCATCCGCATCGACACCACAACCATTGCAATCGTACTAAACCACACTAGGACCCGCGGTTGAACAGTGGCGCTTCGTGATAGCTATAGACATAACACGGTGTTGTGCTGGTGTATCCTTATACTGGAGCGCTAGGATGACTCGTTAAGGACACCGGATGGTCCTCATAGATAGCAAGAATTACAACTATAAGTCCATGAACTTCTCAATAGTATTGCGGTTTATCTTCTACGGTCTTTTGACGACTCGGGTTGCGACGTAGTCAATTGCCAAGCATCACTATACTTATTTGCACATACCATACTGATACTCAACCGACTCAAGTCTTCTTCTTTAGGTCATCTTTGTCAGTTCTCATACGCATAGACTCAGCTACTCATTTGACAAAGCTGACCTGTTCTTTATTGCCCGGTCATATCGTCAAAACCCAGCTGTAACTGTGGCAGGTCTCGGGTGTTGCTGTCAAGGGGCAAGAGCATGATCTGAGTAGAGGCATGTACATTCAGGTCGTGCATAGATTAGTGACGAGCTCAGTGAATGGGGTCCATCTGTCTCTTTCCACAAACCTTTGCCTTCAACGTCATCAAGAAACGAGAATCAGAGCAAACATATCACATTTGAAAAGCATCACGGTTGATACACATCAGATTGCCATGGCGTCTCAAGGTAGGTGTACCACTCATACAGCAGCAACTCACTGCAAAGAACTCCAACTGGTAGTGATTGCGTCGTGGCTATTCACACAACCAAGATCAAAGAGAGCCCAGATGGCAGTATATGTACAGACACGCAACACTGCCAAGCCTAAGAGAATCGTCCAGCAACAGCAACACAGCTTCAGTAATAAAACTAACCATCCACGTCTAGACCCAACCAAAAACAAATATAACCAACTAAAATGGCCGCAGGTTCATCTTCCGAATCCAACAACAAAACCTACGGGACCTACATATACGAGGTTCAAATCAACCTGATCAGAAACCATGGAGAGTTTGTTGATGCGTTGTCGAGGCTGTGTCCTTCCGGCCCGAGGCTTCAATATGCGAGCCGACACATCCCCCTTGATGAACAAACCAGCGGCTCCGTTACGGTGACTTTGGTGATCGACACGGAAGTAGCCGAGGATTTCGAATTGCACAAGTATCTGCAAGATGCGGGTGTGCTCTTGATGGAGCCGCGAAGTGGATGAACAAGGAGCATGGGGCTGTCGAGATCCGGCATAGGCGAACGGGGTAACGAGGTTTCTTTCCTCACATGCGCGACTTCAAAGCATACAGACGTAAATATAATGCTTTGAACTTCAAATGTTAAAGTGAAGAAGACGTGAAATTGACTTGATGATCGAGCGTGTAAACCTTGGTAGCGCAAACCATTCTATCAACGACCTGCTGCCTGAAATATTGTAAAAAGGATAAATCTAGAATCTTTTATTGTCATGTGAGTCCTTCAAGGCAAACCTTATGACAAAAGAATTCATCCTTGACTTTGTACAGCCTGTCACGGCCCATGAAAACAAGCGCACGAATGTATAACAAAGGTTGATGCAGTCGAAGACCTTCTATGAAGCCTATCACTGGTCTTCGAACAGTATCGTAACAGCTAAGAGGAAGCACCTATATAATGTAAGTTGATATTCACAAATGACAGCGAGACATCACCAAGTTGTCTAGAACACTGCCGCTTGTTGACGCAATGGAGATAGAGTGTCTGCTCCCGTTGTAGATAGGAGAAGAAAGGTCATACCAATACGCTTTGAGACAGATACAACAATGCCCTTTGCAGAGTTAAAACTTTGACAGAAGGCTAACTTATACAACATAGGAAGCAATCTCAATTAACTGCCGCAGAAAACAAAGTCTGAATAACTCGGATGAAAAAAGCTAAACCAAAATTCACATAAATTCAGCGTTCTCCCATTATCTTCCCATCTTCATTGATCATTCGCATTCAACTCTTCTTGAGATCAAACTACCATGCTCTTCAATTTCAAACACTACACCACCTTAGCCATCCTGGCTTCAGTCGGCGTCGTGTCTTCAGCTCCCGTCTCAGACCTCGGTCCCGCCCCCAACAACACCATCCTGTCCGTCTCAGACCTAGCCCCCTACAGAAACCACACCGTCTCATCCCTCGCTGTATACGGAGAAGAGAGTAGACATTCATGGCCCTCGACCCAATACCCCTTCAGTGCCATCCAGCAGATAACATTCACCGGGATCGGCTGCACAGTTTCCGTCGTTGGTCCTCGACATCTCTTGACAGCGAGGCATTGCATCCCCAAGGGGTACATGGGCAAGTCTATGAAATATACGAATAATGCTGGGAGTGCAAACATGATTGATATGCTGATGCTTGAGGAGACTGAAGATTGTGATAATCTGAAGGACGACTTTGCGGTTTTGGTGATGGATCAACCCATATTCGAGCGATTTGGGTATTTGGGAATTCGGACGTTCGACTGCGAGAGTCAAATGCATACGCCTAAATTTGTATGTCAACCAGTAGCAATCTCGAGAGAATCATGCTGATAAGATAGGAAAACGCTGGCTTTCCTGTCATGGATCACGAAATGCAGCGTATCCATCAGAATGGCGTCTCAGTAACGGGGTGTTATCGTTGTGATGGCCAAAATGCTCTCATAGGCACTGATGCAGATGCTGACAAGGGCCAGTCTGGTGGGCCTTTGTATACAGTGGAGAACGGTGTAGGTTGGCAGTATGGTGTTATGAGCCATGTCCATGGCCTCAGGGGCACAGTCTTTGCTGGGGGGAACCATTTGACGGAACTTGTCGCCATGGCGAGACACAGGTATCCTTAGCCTTGGTTGCTCGATACTGAGGATCCCTCAGGTCGTCGTACTATTCTTCTCAGACAGAGGAGTTTCGTTCTGGTGGGAACCGGCGAGTGGCCTTTGTATTGGGTGACAAAGGTAGCCGGAGGAAAGTTCTTTTTCTTTGTGTAAGAAGTTTAATGTCAAAATCTCACTGGAGATCGTTCAAGGTTACACCAATGAAAATTTATTCGCGCGTGACGTGATGAGACGCAAGAACACAGGTACTTCATTCGAAAAGGGGCGAATAGCCTTCCTACACTTCGTTTCCACGAAGAGCGCGCTGTAGGCGCGGCAAGTCAAATTCAGGCATAGTCACACCACTTCAAGTCCTCATCGTCCACTGGAGTTGGACTACCCTGACTAGAGCCCCCTAATTGTGCATTGTGGGATGGCACAGTGGTATGTCGGGATCTAGATAGACCAATAACTAGAGGGCTTCGCCTTACGGGCTTGCTTCAGAGCAGCACTCTTTCTCTTGTCCAAGGTCCAGACCCCTGAAGCCGTGGTTCACGCGTCATAATCACTACGGCTGCCCACACTAAGGACACTATTGGCTTCAGAGTTGTACACCATGGCCAGATCGATGCTCCAGACCCCATGGGCTGATACTCATGTTACAGTCGTGACCCTTCTCACGTCCAACACCCTGAAGTTAATATTAGGGCGGAGCCATGAAGTTTAAGCTGGGATCATGGTGCTTGAATTGTGAAGCTTTGACGAAGAAAACCTTAACCATCATGATGACCAAAATACAACTACTGCCCAATTCTATGGGAAGGTCTTTGAACTTTGTTTCAGGTAGGTTTGCTTTCAGCTCAAACTGCCTCCTCCAATAACTTCATTGGATGAGTAGTCCTGGACAAAATGAAGTCAGACCGTCTGCCGCTGAGCTGACCTCAATTCCCTTCTGTAGTCTTGCACGCTTTCTTTCAGTATGGAGACTTACACTTGAAGGCATTATCTGCATGGATTCATCCAAGCCACTGTATCATGGTTTGGACATTAATTGAGGTAGCATGGATGCCATACTGGCAACCATCAAGATTTGTGTACGATGTGAGAGGCACTGATACGAAGTCGGGGGAGGACGAGAGGCTTGAAGCTTAGAACTGAAGGGCTTTTAGTCGATAGGGTCTCTGACGGCTTCAAGGCAGGAGTATCACAGTCATGACCATCTTGTGAGATGATCATGAGGGCGTGGATTTAAGGCGTACAAGACCGGAAGGGATGGTCGTAGTGATCGTTTGGATTATGAGGATGGATGTAGTGAAAGGTGGTCTAATGATCTGTTATTCTCTGTGTAGGACACTCTTTATAAACCCATTTTCTAGTGATCGTCGTACTCTACGACACACATCTCTCTCCTGACAACTCGTCGCGAGCCTGCCCTTGTTTCCGTCTCTTTGGAATGTAGAAGGACAAGCCGGATCATTCTCTTCCCGGTCAACATCCCTTGATATGATAGGAGAATTCATACCGCAACGGATAATACTATCCTCCAAGAAATTAGCGGGAGAAACAGGAACATGGACTGCTTGGCCAGATCCCGCTTATCTCGCTTCACTAGCTTACGCATTTGAGAGCACGTAATTGCAGCGTAGTAGACAAACAACGGCGTATCGTAAACTCTTCTGGGCTCATTCCTGATCCCCTTACAGTTCCGAATGAATCCGATACAACCTTCCAAGATCCTCTTATCAGCTCTCCCTTGACAGCCAATGGCCATCACGCTCACACGGTGCTGAAGTTACGTTGAGACCTATCACAGAAAGAGCCGCAATGGAACATTCCAAAGACCCAGGTTCGGAAACGTATATTCCGGTGAGGTTGCACCGCGTCTCGAATCCATTGGGGAAAAAGTATGAAGCCGCCAAGACAAAACGTACCCGTACGGTCCCGAACATTCGAGATAACAAAAGGTAGTTCAAATCCAATCATGTAACAATTCCGTTGGACTAACCAACAGTCCGTGCTTTGCTTTTCGTAACTTACAGAAACAGGCAGGAGCCTCCGATTCTCACAGTGAAATCCCTAGTAAGTTTGTGGGGAAGGGAGGGGAAGCCTGGTCTGGAACCCGTCAAGGTGAGACAGCGACACAGAGGTTGGGAAAGCAACTGATTCACCTTGTGTTAGCGCCACCCGAAAGAACGCGGATATTGTGGGACAGCGTCACAATGCATTTGGAGTTAATGTGGGAGGTCTAATGCAAACTGTCGTGGTTAGTTGCAGATCTGGAAGTAGACTACTGTAGAGTTTGGAGCGGTCTAACCAGACGTTAGTTTGATGGTGTTGTTTTGCTGGACTACATATTGGGCTAGCCTTATACATGGACCGCAAGAATCTGGAGAGACAAGGTCGGGGAAGGGATCGGAGTGCAATAATTTGCCCCTCAGAAACTCCAAAAACTGTGTCTGACTAGTGCATGCGGCCTAAGCGCTTATGGAAGAGCTAGAGTGTTGGAAAGTCGTCGCTCAGCGTAATGGTTGCAACCCTCCTACAAAACGCCAATAAGAAACAAAGAAAAACAAGTATTCAGTCTTCTAGAAAATCCCTCGTTCTTCGTTAGTACCTGATCAGCTTTCACTAACTTTAATCATCCTCCCTGCAATAAAGTTACTGATCCTCCCGTGGGGGCTGAGCAAGCCAACATGAATGTTAGCTCCAACCTTGCGGTAACTGGAACACTATAGTAGCGTTCCTAGTGGGGACCTCTGGGAGTCGGAGACGACTCCATGCCAAGCTGATGGTAACTCCTCACCGGCGCTTACTGACTCGAGGTCCCCCGCGTCAGAAATGCAACGCTGCAAGCGCAATAGACGGGATTGTTCGGAATGGTCTGGACTTGCCAAGACAATAATTGTTGCAGGGTGATGCAATATCCCCAACTTGTTAGTGTCCTGCAATACTCGTATTACCTGGCGTTTAGGTATCCGTGGTCTGGGGTTGTATTCGTCTACATGATCCAATTACGTAGGACAGGGTGATCCTTGCCTTGCTGAGATTGAGTTGGGCCGTTGAACTTACTGATCTTACCAGCTTTTCCACTGCGCAATGACCACAAACATTCGCCTATTCCACAATATATATGTACCTAACAGCCTTGCGATGACAACAATGGAGAAGACAAGAGTCTTAGTCTGCGGAGACAAGACGGAGGAAATGCTCAGCATGCGGAGACTGTTACCTTGGCACAACAAGCCAATGAATCATGCACTTCCCAAAGAACTCACGTTTTAAACGGTCGGTATCCAGAAAGAGTCCCTAAACGCGGGGAAAAGACAGCCACTCGGAGATCAATTCTGGTGCCAGTTTTCTTGTTTCTCCACAACCTTAATCGTTAAGCTTAAACTCCTTCCCTATTCAGGCTAGCCGAGTCGAACCCTAGCGGGCGTTGCATCCTTTTGGGGAATATCGCCGTTGGCTTTAGGAGAAGCGTTCACTGCGGAGAGTTCAATGTTATTGTTTGGCTATGATCCTACGGCAGATGATACGACACCCTCTTCTTACCTGTGCCTTCGGGATGATGGTCCAATGGAACAGACATGCAAACGCCGCTGATGACGAGAATAAACCTTCTAGAAGGACAGAAGCATTGCTTCCGTGTGTACTTTGGCCTGTCAACGCCCGTCAATCATGCACGATGCTGGATGCATTTTCTAGCGTCACATTTCCTCACGCGATGTAGCAACGGTAACGCAAAGACCAACAGACGATCAATCCACTTTGACCCCCAGTCATCCATCCATAGTATAGAGTATCACAAGAGGTGAAAACTTGGAACAGTGGTACCCATCTAATTAGACGCACGGTCTAGACCAACTTAATCTCATAGCTTAGATCCAACTAGCCTGCCACGGCATTACCGACTGCCAGCACCGAGAACTGCTCCTCTCTCCGCTTCACTCTGCACCCCGCATTGCGGGGAGAGACGGAGCCATGAGGAGATCGTCGCTTTCTCCCCAGGTCCCCAGGTTTTACCCCATATCCCTTCTATCTATATAACACTCCTCCATGCCCTCTATTCCCATCTTCTTTCCTCAAGGCAGTCACTCGCTCTGACTACCCTCCTATCTCCTCATCTTCTATCCAATTCGTTGAAGTCTAGTGACAATCATCATCATGGCTCAGAACAAACGTGACGAAAAGGCCGACATCAACAGAGATGCCGAGCCTCACATCTTCCAAGATGAGCACCCAGAGAAGCCCATCCCCACCTACGAAAAGACGGATTACTCTGGTGCCCATGAGAAGACAGATCCCAAGGAAATCGCACTTGTCAAGAAGCTTGATCGATGGATGATGCCTATGCTTTGGAGCATGTACTGGCTCAACTATCTTGATCGTAATGCCATTGCTCTTGCACGATTGAACGATCTTGAAGAGGATCTTAACCTTCAGGGAACTGGCAAGTTGCCCAATGATCGGGATGGTGTTGTTTGCTAACTAGGTTGCAGAGTACCAAACTTGTGTTTCTATTCTCTTCGTTGGTTACATTCTGGGACAGATTCCCTCCAACATGTTCCTCACTCGAACTCGCCCTAGTCGCTACATGGTATGCACTACTTGCATCTTCTTGAAAACGCACAACTAACACCTTCAGGGTATCATGATGATGCTCTGGGCCGTCGTCAGTGCTCTCACAGCCGTCGCAAAGGACTTCAAGGGTCTCCTCCTCACCCGATTCTTCCTCGGTCTCACCGAAGCTCCCTACTACCCCGGTGCCGTCTACCTCCTCTCCATCTTCTACACCCGCAAGGAAGTCGCAACCCGAATTGCCATCCTCTACACCGGAAACATCCTCGCCACAGCTTTCGCCGGTCTCATCGCCGCCGGTATCTTCCACGGTCTTGACGATGTCGCTGGCCTTCCTGGCTGGAAGTGGCTCTTCATTCTCCAGGGTGCCGTCACCTTTGTCATCGCTGTCGTCGGATACTTTATTCTGCCCGACTTCCCCTTGACTACTCGGTGGTTGACCGACGAGGAGAGACAATTAGCTTACAACCGTATGGAACTCGACACTGTCGCCAACAAGGGTGAGACCAGCACCATGGAGGGATTGAAGCAGGCTGCCAAGGATCCTCTTGTCTGGATCTTTTGTGCTATGGCTCATCTTCACTTGGCTGCCAACGGTTTCAAGAACTTCTTCCCCACTGTCGTCGAGACCCTTGGCTTTGACCGAACCATCACTCTCGTCCTTACTTGCCCTCCATACCTCATCGCCGGTGCCAGCACCATCCTCGTCTCATGGATGTCCGGTCGATACAACGAGCGAACGTGGCACATCACCGCTTCTAAGGCTGTAGCTGTTGTTGGTTTCGCCGCCGCTGCTGCTACCATGAACACTGCCGGTCGCTACGTCTGCATGGTCATCTTCACTATCGGTACATACGCTGTCAACAGTCTTATCCTCGGTTGGTGCGGATCCGTCTGTGGTCAGACCAAGGAGAAGAAGGCAGTTGCTATCAGCATGGTCACCATGATCATGAACGTCAGCTTCATCTGGACTCCTTACTTGTGGCCCAAGAGCGATGCCCCCAGATATGCCATTGCTATGGGTAGCAGCGCTGGTTTCAGTATCGGAACTGCTGCTCTTGCCTGGTTGGCCAAGTTTATCCTTAAGAAGCGAAACCAGAAGCTTCGCGCTCAGGAGAACGAGAACATGGTCTACTACGTCTACTAAGTGGACATTTGGAGCTTGGATTTATGATAGTTGGAGAGCTTATAAGAAGAATGAGGAACGATTTGGACTTTTAGACAGTAGATACGTCAATACTTTGTCTTTTAGCAATACATAAATGCTTTCAATCACATACCTCCGCTCAGCCAACGTGACACTGCATCGTACTGTGCTTGCTCTACACTACCTATCATTGAATCCAGTCTTGACCTTCTTCTCTTTCCGTCCTGGATAGCAACTTTGTGAGGATGTGGGTATACGCTTCCACTCCTGTGACTCTATCAAGCTTCCACTCTCCATTCTCATGCTGGGGACAGCTACAAACTCTGGTAACAGAGATCGTTATTGATGAGTCACATTTCTTTGCGCATCAATACGATCAGCGTAATCTGAGCTTGGAACGTCCCGTGTGGATGTGGTCCCCAACTGGTCTGACTGAAATAGCAACCAGTTTCGGCCTAGCTTCATGATCCTTGTATGCGTCAGATTTTGACGATTCCCGACTGAGATAGCAACCTATCTGGGACTAGTCTCATTGGCCTTTTACAGTCAGAATGTTTCTTCCAAACCAGCAGTCATGGGGATACAAGTATAAAAGCCCTTGGGATCTCCTCACTCAATCTGTTCAATTGATACCAGACGCCAACATATTTCTTCCCTCTCCCTACAGCTGCAAGTCACCACCATGGAGTTCGCAATGACTCTCAAGGAGCGTCTTGCTCTTCGTCAAGACCTCCTCTCCACCAACGACACCTTCATCCACTCCCTCCCTAAAGTAGAACTCCACGTCCACATAGAAGGCACTCTCAGTCCCTCCCTCCGTTGGGCCCTCGCCAAGCGCAACAATCAGACTCTCAAACTCGAGCGCACAGGCACAGTCTACGAAACTCTCGAGCAGCTTGAAGAGTCATACAACATTATTCAACCCCGTCCTGGACACCGTATTGACAACACCGAGGAGACCTTTACGTTTTTTGAGGCGTATTATGGCGGGTTTGAAGTTCTGGTTACGGAACAGGACTTTTACGATCTTGCCATGGGCTACTTTGAGAGGGCTGCGCAGATGAATGTCAGGTATTGTGAGCCATTCTTTGATCCGCAGGGTCACACGAGAAGGGGCGTTGAGTTTGGGACTATGATGGAAGGGTTCCGAAAAGCTCAACAAGAGGCCGAGAAGCGATTGAACGTAAGTATCTCTCGTCTACATCCTTGAAAATATGTGCTGAATCGGCAACAGATCAAACCTAAGTGGATCATGTGCTTCCTTCGTGACATGTCCGTCGAGTCAGCCTGGGAAACATACCAAGCTATGCTCCCATATAGAGACATGGTAATCGGTATTGGTCTAGACTCCGACGAAAACGATCGTCCACCAGCTCTATTCGCAGACCTATACACCCGTGCCCAGCAAGACGGCTTCCACATCACGGCACACTGTGATGTCGGCCAAAAGGACACTTACCAAAACATCCGCCAAGTAGCTGCCGACCTCTCGCTAGACCGCATCGATCACGGTCTCAACGCCGCCACAGACACCGACCTGATCCACATAATCAAAGATCGAGGAATCGGCATGACTCTTACACCTTGGGGATATTTGAGACATGAGCCTGTGGAAGAAATCTTCCCAAGGATCAGGAAGCTGTTCGATGAGGGAATTCCTATTGCTATTGGTAGTGATGATCCAGCTTATATGGAGGATTGTTGGATTTTGCATGACTTGTTGCTTGTTAAGCGGATGTGTGGATTTAATGATGGGGATATGGTGAAGTTGGCAAGGGATGCTGTGGATATGTGCTGGGCTGACAAGGATTTGAAGGAGGGGATTGCAAGAGAGATTGATGAAGTGGTGGCCAAGTTTGATAAATCATAGATAGGCAACCAGTCCCAGGTTTCCATTCTGGATAGAACATCTTATGGTGCTGTGTTCGATGGTTCAAACTAGCATGATAGTCCTACCAGGTATACTGATGCTAAAACGATCGAACTCTTCTCTTTTTGCCCAAACAACTTCCAACACCTCAAGCGCATTACTATGGTGTCGGCACCCAATAGTCTCAAGTGCAATACTGAGACGGTGCCGGATCATATTCTTTTCCTTAACGTCCCCATCGCCCCAAGTCACTGCAACTTGGAAAATGGGCCATAGCAAGGCATAGCTCCATGATGATGCTGGCGGTATGACTTCCGCAAGACCCAAGACTTGATCAGACAAAGACTCTTTGCTTTCGGTGTCAGGGAAGAGACGATGGAGGTAGGCTTTGATGCCCAGCTTCCAGATTTCGACCATGTGCTTTCGTGCGCCAGTCATGAGCGGAGGCTTCCACTCGTTCAGTCGTGTTTCTAAATCTTTAATTTGCAGCTTTGACTCCTCAGGCAGACTTTTGAATAGGAAAACAACTTCGGTGATGATCTCGAAGAGATCGATTGGACAGGGGAACACATCGTAACTCCATTGTCGCTGCCCGTTACTCGAAAGGCGACTGATAATCCTCTTGACCTCAGCGATTATCAGGTTTGGCGGCCTCTGAGATGTTGTGGAGCTCATTATATCAAGCCTACCCAACCTTTAGATAGAAGGAGACTTTGTTATAAAGTGTGACTCACCATGCAAGGCGCTGTTCGAAATAGTATCGATTCACCTCCCCGTCATACCCCGAGCTCCGTATCACAGCAACTGCCGCTCTCAAATGCGTCTCAAACTCGGTGCAGTCCCCGGAACACATCTATCCTCACTTCGTTAGCATCTAACAACTCATATGATACTTCAACTTACATCAAGTTGCGCAAGCATAAGAATACTGGCCAAAACACTCTGATCGTTTACACTACCCGGATTCTCCAACATCTCTCGTAACAAACATGTAGCATGAACTCTCAACCGTAGACTCTTTCGCTCAAGCGCTTCGTCTGAGGTTCGAGCTGCGACGTGACATGATGCTGAACCAGCGAGAGCGAAGCGAATTGGGGGAATGGTGGATATAAGAGGGAGCACGTAGTGGAACATGGGATTCTCGCTAGGGCCGGAGCCGAGATAAAAGATGCTGCTTAGATCTGCGATGTCTGATGAATGTCAGCCTTGCGATTTGGTCGGGATGAGATGATGAGGTTACAGTGCTGGACAAATTTGTCAATCTCTTCATCGGTGAAGCTGGATACATTTGTTCTTGTTCTCTTCTGTTGAGTTCTCGTCAATTGCGCATTAGACTGTGCGATACCAGCTGAACTGTTCACCACAGGAATGGACTTTCCAGCTAGCTTTCCACGAGCCGCCACGCCCGGCCATTTCGTAACATATCCTTCACAGGATACACTTCGTTTCTCACAAGCAAGACATGTCGGGAGGGTCCTATCGCATTTCCTACCACGTCTACGACAGCCGATACACGCGGTAGCATGAAGCGATGACGAAGCCATCACCGGCAAGGATATACGATTTGTGAGTGACTGGGGAGATATCGGCAATAAGATCGAACTTACGTCGGAGAAATGAGGCCAAGACGTGTAGGTTCCTGTTGAAAGCTTAGCCCAACTCCGCAAATTCCGCAATTGGTGAGATGCATCGCTGAATATACCGTACTAACCGGAATTGGATAACATTCTGGGGGTTAGTAATCCTAGCTGACCAATGTGATACATGTCCACGGACTCCACGGAAAGTAAGCAGAGAAAGGAAGATTAATGCGAGGCGGGAGGATTGGACCTCCGATCTTTGACGGGAGGCGTCACAGCGGATTTCGTCATTTTTTGGATTAGCGACGAGGTTTAATAAGGCTGCGTTGGTAACAGAAAAAAGACAGTGTTCAGCTGAGTATAAGTACAGCTGCCCCCGAAGGTCACAGACATTGAACAATCCAACCATCTACCCATCTATTCAATCTACCAACTAGAGCAATCCAACATCTTACGTTTCAACATCAAAATGTCTTCTATCGCACTTATCTTCGGCGCAGGCTCCAACGTCGGAAACAGCGTCGCCAAAGGCTTCCTCGCAAAGGGATACAAAGTCGCTCTTGCATCCCGATCTCAAGACCCAAAGACGTCAACAGAAACTGAGCTTCATATTCCCACAGACTGTAGCGACACTAGTTCAGTACTAGAGGCCTTTGCTAAGACGAAAGGTGCCTTCGGTATCCCCAACGTGGTCGTGTACAACAGTAAGTAACCTAGTCGGGTGACAAAGTGGATTGCTAATTGGGATAGCCTACGCTGGACAATGGAACAGCGCGGAGAATATCTTCGAAGTTTCTCTAGACCATTTCCAGAGTAGTACCGCCGTCAATATCACAAGCGTCTACGCAGCAGCCCAAGAAGCAGTGAAAGGCTGGACGGAACTTCCTCAGTCAAGCAAGAATACTTTCATCCTGACAGGCAACGCCTCGAACGTCACTCCTCTTCCAGTGATGATGACGTTGACTGTAGGCAAGTCAGGCTCAGCTAGTCTTATGGAAATGGCTGCCCAGAGCTACAAAGACAAAGGTTACAGGTGAGTTGTCGGAGTAGAATACGATGTGAGTGGTGCTAACTTTGATGATAGATTCTATTATACTGATGAGAGGCTCGAGGATGGGACGCCGATGTGGAATGGTACTACCGCAGAGGCGCATGCTGAGCTATATGTTGACTTGGCTGAGACGGAGGAGCAGAGGGAGTGGTATCAGACTTTTGTCTCCGGAATTGGATACAAGAAGTTGCCTGCGCCCAAGATCGACTGATTCATGGTCAATCACTGTATGGAGTGATGCGGCTGCAATATTAGGAATGTCACGTTTGAGGGGAAGCCCGTTGGCTGTTGAAGTATGTATTTAATGAAGTAATATATATGTATGAAAGACGCAAGTGGTAACTTTCAATCTCAATCAAGAGATGCCTCAAGCACCCTGACCCTTAACAACCATCCCCATCTGCAGCATCTAGCTGACATCAACAATTATTGGGCCCTCATCATTAACCGCCTAGCAAGACTTGACGGAAGAGTAACGGCAAGCGTTGCTGGGACCAGAGCCAATCTTCTTGGGCTCGTTGCCAGGGGTGGTACCCTTGTACTCAGTGCAGATGTCCTTAACGGAAGAAGCACAAGTACCGGAGATGGTGGCAACATCACCCTTGTTGGAGTTAATTCCGGTGAGGACCTTTCCGTTGTAGGCCTTGACGTTCTTGACAACGACGTTGCGAGTGCCCATCTTCTTGCAGTTACCGCAAGATCGGTAAAGCTTTCCGAAGTCGACAACGGTGAATCCGTCAATGGTGACCGTTCCGAGACCGTTGTGCTGGATGACCTTGTCCT